CACTGGTGAGAAACCATTCACATGCACTCAGTGTGGAAAGAGTTTTATCTTCTCATCATCCCTTAATAATCACATGAAGATCCACTCCGGAGAGAAACCATTCACATGCACTCAATGTGGGAGGAGCTTCATACTATCATCAAACCTTAATCAACACATGAGGATCCACACTGGAGAGAAACCATTCACATGCACTGAGTGTGGGAAGAGCTTCAGTCATTCTTCATGCTTTAAATTCCACATGAACATCCACACCGGAGAGAAACCATTCACGTGTTCTCAGTGTGGGAAGATTTTCAGATCCTCGCCAAACCTTAATCAACACATGAAGATCCACACTGGAGAGAAACCATTCACATGCACTCAGTGTGGGAAGAGTTTCAACCAATCATCTGACCTTAATCAACACATGAAGATCCACACTGAAGTAGGCATGGGATAACCGTTTTCAAGGTTTGGAAAAGTCAAGGTTTTAGAACCACCAAAATGTTCTGCTATATTGTTCCTATGGTGTGTGTCAGTCTTTTTATTTACATTTTTTTTGTTTTTGTGTTTAGTACAACAGTGTCTTCAGCAGAAATGAGATCTAAAATGCCTTTTTAAACTGTAAATTAATCTGTGTTTCTGAAACTAATGAAGGCAGCAGAAGTCAGTGATTCATTTGAATTATTCAGCCTGACATGTTTACTGCTCCACAATCAATGACTGTAAAAAATATGGACGACGCGACAGCCCCCTTTCCCATTGAACGCCTTGAGGGGAAAACGCCTGCTTGACGGGCACAAACTGTCGCAAAAGACTGCTGAAATTGGAGCCTTGACATGCGCAGAAGGACTGTCTGATGGAGCCAGAGTCGAGCTTCCAACCAAACGCTTTATGTAAAATCAACCACGCCCCCCGAACTTCTCAGCATGCGTTTGCTGTCATATTAACACAAATGGATGTAATAACGTTAACAAATATGAGTGTTTTATATATTCAATCGTGGGCCAAAGCGCATAACCTACTCGCGGCATCGCGGGCTGATTCCGGCTCGCATGCGGCAGCGCCGGCTCGCTCGGCCGCCGCATCTGGCTCGATTGACTCGGGCTGGAATCGGGCAGTGAGTCCAGGCATCCGGAGTAGGTCCAGCAGAGGTAGTCAGTCTGAGCTCTGAGGGGTAAGTCTCCGGCAGGCGAGAATCTAGCCGGAACTGGCCCGAGTGTATTTTGCTATCTGGGTGTTTAGGCGTGTATCAGCAAACTAATAAAGCCCGAAAAAAGCCCTGACCTTAGCGAATAAACAGTGTTCCACCAGGATCATGTATGTCAGAAACTATAGTTTACTGCTGAACTCATTTTGTCATGGTAAAATAACACAGAAATCGAATAATAACACTTCAGTCTCCTGCCGAAGCTCAGACGGTCCCTTTGAGAAACTGTCAATCACAGCTGTCAATCACGATGACACGCCCAGCATTAAATTACTGCTAAAAACAAACTGTTTACAAAAATGAAGATCTGCACCTATTTCAGCACAATAACCAGTGCCTTAATCGACCTGAACCATCTTTCGGGACAGTTTATTGCAAGTGTAATTAATTTTTTTTATTTGGGCTCAAGTCTCCTTCATTAACACAGAGGAGGTGGGCTTTATGACTTGTACTGCAGCCAGCCCCCAGGGGGCGATCTAACGGCCGAGACCTTCACTCAAACGCAGGCTTGCGGCACACTTGTCCACAATATTTTAAATGTTTCTCAAGATAAAAAAGTTTGTGTTCAAAGGGGGAAAAGTGTTAGTTCTTCACCTAGACATTTAAGAAGAGTGTATATTAAGGCAGTAATCACAATAACGTCAAACCGTTATATTTTTATCCAAGGTTATTATACCAGCAGAGTCTAATATCGGCCCATGCCTATGTAACCCCTCTTAGTTTGTATGATCTTTTTTTTTTCTTCTAATTTTTAATGAAAGCAGTTTGGCTGAGCACATTCACTTTTTAGTTTTCACTGGAATAGACAAAGCACCACACAGACACCAAGTATAACTGGTCCGGTCTGTAAGTTCCACCCAGTTGGTCCAATGCCGGTGTCCACTAGTGGATGACGGTTCAATGCCTGTTCGGTCTTTCCAGTGCACAATGTTTATTTTCTTTAAATGTAACTCGTATCTGACTCCAATTTGAGTATGAGGTGGTTTAGAATAATAATATATTTATTTTTAGTTTTATCTGACCCCATTCATAAAACATTAAGAAGATTATGTCAATATATCATGTAGATGAATGTTTGAACCTGTTGTCTTCACTCGTAACTATTACATTTGTTCATTCGGGTGCTCAGAGAAATCGCCCCAGCTGATGGCGTCCCTCACGGTCAAACTCTTGTCAGTCTTGAATATTAAACAGAGGTAATTGACTAATACTTTTAGATGTATTAGTATGCGCTAAATCAGTGTCTGGACAATTTTGCACAAACATTGCGACTTCATAACTCAAATTGTCCATACGTCTACCCTGAACCCTGAGAGACACTCGTCAGCCATGTCTGCTGCCTTATTCAGCTGCAGCCAGTAGTCAACAGGGTTCTCACCGTATCTAGGTAAGGTAAAAATCAGCAAGTGGCACACTAGAATTGGACACATTACTGAAATATTGCTGAAGTATGCTGTATATCAAATTTGGTTGTGTTTTGCAGTCTAACGTAGGGTTACTGTGCAGAGTTACTTTTACATGTTTTGCCCTGCCCATAAGATGACTATTTTGTCTGCATGATCAGGAATGTCAACATTTCTTTTTTTTTGTAGGTAAAGCTGCATCATGGAGTAGTAATAGTAATAATAATAATAATTCTTTACATTTATATAGCGCTTTTCTTTACACTCAAAGCGCTTTACACATTGGGGTGAATCTCCTTATCCACCACCAGTGTGCAGCATTCACCAGAATGATGCAACGGCAGCCATATTGCGCCAGCCCACACACCACACATCAGCTGATTGGTGGAGAGGAGACAGAGGCTGCGTCCGAAACCGCCTACTACTCAGTAGGTACTGCATTTGAACTTAAACGTACTACTCGGCCGTTAGAAAAGTACGTTCTATACAGTATGAATGTGAAAAGTATGAATGAAATTCGGACGTACTACATCCGCCATTTTGTCATGGTCACGTGACCTACCTGCGTCAATTGCGTCGCTTTACTCCCATTCATAAATTCGCTCGCGGGACATCATGGGATAATGCAACATGCATGGGATGCGCACTCTAGAATCTCGCCGGAAGTAGTGAGTCATCCGGGTACTTCTCGCATACTGTTTTTCGAATTCTATGAATTCGGACATACTACTCGGCTCGCATACTGGTTTTAGCGTACTATATAGTATGGAAGTATAGTATGGAAGATTTCGGACGCAGCCAGAGTGATGAAGCCAATTATGATTAGGGGTTAAACCCCTACTCTTTTTTTTTTTCTTCCGAAGGACATCCTGGGATTTTCAATGACCACAGAGAGTCAGGAGCTCAATTTAATGTCTCATCCGAATGACGGCGCTCACTGAGCAGTATGGTGTCCCAGAGACCGCACGTTGCGCCCCCTGCTGGTCTCGCTAACACCACTTCCAGCAGCTACCTAGCCTTCCTAAGTGCTCTCCCATCCAGGTACTGACCTAGCGCAGCCCTGCTTAGCTTCACTGGGTGACCATGTGAGATGATGAAACTGATTGCATTTATAGACATACCAGGTAATATAAGAAGATTTAGTACAGAATTGTACTCATGCTGGAACATTTACATATAACAGATCATATAAATTTATATTCAGAGCAGCATTAAAGTAAAATAAATCTATTATTGAGGAATTAAACTTAAGTGAAAAGTTTGCTTTGCTTCATAATCAATAGTTTATTCCTATTCTTAATCATTTTCAAACTCAGAAAGCAGTTTAGCATTGAAGGGGAAACATTTGGACACATGCCCAGTACCAATAATAGTCTCAAATCAGATCGTGCAATGTTAATATCTTTATTTGTACCTTTTCCAGAGAAATCTCCCATTCATTCAGAGGTAAACCAGAACTAAAAATACTGCGTTGCCGATAGGGTGAAGTGACGTCGTTGTGGAAAGACAGCCAATCATCTTTCTCAGAGCCAGCTACAGGCAGCCAATCCGCTTTCGCTGATCAGCGTGCAGGCAAATATCCCGCCCACAGCGCTTATTCTGAGGCGGAGATCGGAAAGAGCAGATTTTTGTTGTTTAATTGGTTTATTTAGTTTTATGTTACGGGTTTTGTTCGTCTGTTCAGAGTAAGTGTATGATATCTGACTATAGTAGCGTTCGCAGACTTGCGGGAATTATCTTGCGGTTTGAACCGCTTTAACATATGTGCTCAATGCTAATATACTCTCTTGTTTTTAGCTCGATGCTACTCTGTAAACACTTGTAATGTCTTACTCACGGGTTATCTGGACACCTTTCATTTGTGTCTCCATCTAATTCATTCACTAAGAGGTAGTTTAATGCTGATTATATTGAATATTGACTGTTTAACTGAACATATGCTTGTGTAAACTCTTGAAGAGACGCAAACGCTTTATTTTGCAGTAAAGCAGAATTTGGGATTAGTATAATAATATAAAACACTTAATTCATTAAAATATTGAGAGATAAATGTAAGCAATCAGAGACATGATCACGCTGCACACATGAGATGTAGAATCGACCACTCAAGACTTACACACACATTTATTGAACAGGGGAGAAACACCTATTTGTAGCTTGTGTGAGAACATTTTGATCATAAAACATTTTAGTAACATGCATTTTTAAAATGTTATTAGAGAGTGTTTTAATTCAGAAAATATTTTGGGGAAAATGTTTAAAAAAGGTGTTTTCTATTTACAATATTTATCATATTTATGTTGTTGTTTGTATGTTTTCAATACAATTAATGATGTTTAAGAAGCAGTTATGATTGTAAATTATGTACTGAATATTTAATGCAAGTGTTTCTGTTATAAATGCAGGAATATTCCCATCAGGATCAAGTGAAGAGTTTACTGAAGGACAGCGAGAACATGAGTGATCCAGAACCCTGCAGAATTAAACCTGAAGATACTGAACAACAAATAGGTTGGTGTTTATTCCTGATTCTTCATTAATAAGCCTGAAAAACAATAATGATGAGAAGCTTTGAACAGTTGATCTGTTTTATTGAGCGAGCACAGGAGGAAACAAGTGATGTTATATGAAGAGAGAGAAAAGCTAGTACACTTTCTATTGACAAGGTAACAAATAGAGACTGTTGCTCAGTTGTCTTTTATTCTGTTGGTAATCAGGGTGTCACAATCCTCCAAATCCTCGATTCGATTACATTTTCGATTCTAAAGTCACAGTTCGATTATGAGTAATCAATTAATAAATATCGAATTAATTATTTGTAGCCTACCGTTTAAACTACCTGACCTGCATGGTCTTTGTTTTACCCATAAACAAATCATACAGTAAATGAATAAAGGCAATATACACACATAATTACCACCTGTCAATCACTTTTTTCTGCGGGACTCGTGAATAGTGATCTGTGTCGTTATAATGGCGTCAGTGACAAAGGTGCACAACCAACAGAAACCAGCCAACAGTATCTGAGGTGTTCGCTAAAATGACTAAGTACAAGTGAGTGAAAGATTGAAGCAGTCTATTAATCCTCTGACTGCCTGGACCTGCTGTCTTGGAACGCATGACTGTGTGTGCGTCTGTGTCTGTGTGTGCGTCTGTGTCTGTGTGTGCGTCTGTGTCTGTGTGTGCGTCTATTTCTGTTTATCTGTGTCTGTGTGTGCGTCTGTTTCTGTTTATCTGTGTGTGCGTCTGTGTCTGTGTGTGCGTCTGTGTCTGTGTGTGCATCTGTGTCTGTGTGTGTGTCTGTGTGAATTGAGTTTGTGTGGTCAGGTGATGTGTGTTTTCAGCAGTAGTGAGGAAGGAGGGCTGCTCAGAAATGCTACAGGTCTGAGTGTGTACTTTTCGCGAGCGGATTTGCAATGGGGGCGGGGCGGAGGATCACGATGCGCCCATCGTCTATCGGCCCAACCCTAATACTTACATAGCAGAGCTTGCAAACTGTGTGTTTTTTTTGTCGACAACACCATGTTATCAACTCACTGGAAATCTAAAATACTTCCACACCGGAGAAAAGAAGGAGAAGAGGGTTTAAGCTCTGTCGGCGGGTCTCCTGCGTCTGCAGTTTAACAAGCCTGTTTTTTTCCCGCTTGGCAAGTCAAGCTGACGTGACATGGCGGCGTGGCAGCATCGACAATTCTATCTTTTGATTCGATAATCGAAATTGAGCATAAATTTCGATCGATTTTGATTTAAAATCGAAATCGTGACACCCCTAGTTGAGAAAAAGGACTATATACATATATATATATATTTTTTCTTCTTTTTATATCAAATTATTATTTGAATTGGTCATTTAAGGGTCATAAACTTACTGAACGTCTCCTGTTGTGTGTGGGATGCTGTGCAAACTAATTAATATTTTTGCAGAAGTAGATTAAATTCAGCTCTGCAGAAACCTACCTGTCTGAAGAAAGGTGTTAAAACTTAACACACAACACAGAACGACCTTATGCTTTTATTGTCGTGCAGAAAGTTAGTAGAAAAACAGGACTTATGTCTGAGGTGCGGCCAATGGAGGGCTGGAGAATGATTGACTAGTGACTAATTTCACTAAACTCCACCTGTTGATATCAGCTGCCTATATAAGTTGAAGTCAGGAAATGAAAACTGTTGCACACCTCCTGAATGTAACTTTGCATTGAGAATAACAGAATTCTGTGAATCGAATTATTCATTTGTATCTAATAAATTATGATTTTTGACATTGAAGAAAAACCTCTCCTGACCTTTTTAATTGAACACGCATGGAATTGATTCAATATTCCAACAATTCCCATGTTTTGATCAATAATATTAACAATAACAATAACCATGATATTCATAAACCATATTCAATCATGAGTTATATGTAAGCACTCCTCTCTTTGTGTCATGCCTTTTGGAAGCCCAAATACAGAAACAGAACAAGCTCAGTGAAAGTTGCACTATTGGACGGCATTTTACCTTTCGTTGCTACTAGCATTACAGCACCTCTGTGGCCGCTGCCCTTCGCCATGTGTTTCCTGGGGTGTAAACTGATGGGTTTATGACATTATTAATCTGGAAGTGTTTTACCTTATTTATATAGCACCTTAAAACAAAATTAATGTTGACCAACTTAGCTGTGCTAAGCTAACTGTAAACGCATAGCTCCCTTTGCATTGAACTTTGAGCGCTTTGAATTCATTTACTTTATGAAACCACTACTGTTATATTTGTCTCTCTTGCATGTTTGTCACACTCAGATAATCAAACTAAATACTAGTTAAAGATAAACTAAACACATTATTCACTTTTGACATGAAGTTTACTGCGATATTGCATGACCCTGTGTGAAAAAGTGTTTACCCCCAAACCTAATAACTGGTTGGGACACCCTTAGTCACAACAACACCATCTCAAAGGGATTCAAGTCAGGACTTTGACTAGGCCACTCCACAATATTCATTTTGTTTTTATTCAGCCATTCAGAAGTGCACTTGCTTGTGTGCTTTAAATCATTGTCCTGCTGGAGAACCCAAGTTTGCTTCAGCTTGAGGTCACTAACAAATGGCCCGGTGCCTGTTTCAGAAAGCAGGTTAAGTCAAAAATCAGAGTATTTTAACCCTGAAATGAGAGAAACTCTGGGTTTTCCGTTTCAAAACTGGAGAAAGCAGGGTAAGTCAAGCCTGTTTCTGAAAGAGGTGGTATATTTAACTCAGAGTCAGTTAGTGTGGTAACTTACTCTGTGAAGCTAACCTGGTCAGGAGCAGGTTTTATTCTCTAAACTCTGAGTTTCTGTCTGTCTCCTCCCCTTTTTTAAAGATGAAGCGGTATTTCTCGCCTAAGCCTTACGTTTCCACCCACCTATTTTAATGCTCATTTTGGAGATGCGCATGGAAACGTCATGATGCACATAAAAACATGCGCATAACTGAGTAGGATAAACTTTTATTCGATAGAAAATAATCACAAACTACGATGGAAACACTTTTAATGAACAAATTACAGTAGGCTATGTACATTAAAAAAAAGGTCATGATCATATGATGATGAAAATGTGTGTGAATGGACAAACCAGCAGGCTGAGCACACTGTAACACGTCTTAAATATTGTTTTAATCGTTCTAAAATGCCTGAACTGTTTCAGTATTATTGTATATAGTTACCTGGAGCATGTGAAGAGTCTCCGCGTCTCATGGCTTCAAACGCCCCCACGTGTTCATTGTGTGTCAGCATTGTCTTCTGTCTCTGAGACGCAAGTACATTTATTAAATGTAGAATTAATTGACGCAGCTTCTTCTACCACAGTAAATTCTGTTTTTACTGTTGTTATTTGGCGGCAGTTAATCAGGAAGTGACGATTTTGTTTTTGACTTGTTGGATGGAAACGCTGCTTTATTCGCGTCTTTTATGCAATATTCTAGTTTTGCACATATATTTATGTAATATATTTGGATGGAAACACAGCTATTGACATAATAGTCACACAAAGAACAAAGTCACGTACGAGAATGGCTTGTCCTTTTTTAATAAATAACTAGCTTAAATTCACAGACCTTCGACATGTACTGTTATAGATTAATGGGATTATTATTCTTTCTAAAAAGTATTTTTAGTTCTGCTTACCTTCTAAATGTTATATCAACCTCTATCACTTGATCACTAAAAAAGGCAGACACACAATTTCACTGTTAAATCTATTAAAACTGATAAACGTGTATAAAAGTTTAGAAAAAATGTATAAACGTCACACATTACATTACTTATTTTATTATACTTAAATATTTAAATACTTTAAATGTAAAATTACGCATTAACTTGAGCAGTTTTTCCAGGCTCTTTCTGTTTCACTGATGGTTGCTTCTTTTTAAATATATACACTCATATTTGCTATAACGTTGCATGAGCACATCAAGTTCAGCTGGAGAAAGAAACGGTCATCTCTTTTTTCAGATGTTGTAATTGTCACTCGTAATATCTGCGCTCCATTGATAATGCCTCTTTATAGTTGTGGTGTGCGCGCTTAACTCTGAGTTGGTCTACTCAAAGTTGATTGATCCAACTCAGATCAGCTATTCTGAAACCGAAAACTCAGAGTTTTTAATCTCTCGGTAAATCAACTCAGAGTTCAAGTTTAAACTCTGAGTTGTTTGAACCTTCTTACTGAAACAGGCCCCTGATGTTCTCCTTTAGGATATTTTTACTGTTGGTATAATGTTTATTTTCTGGAATGCAGTGTTATTTTTACACCACACATAATGGCACACACCTTGCAAAAAGTTTATCCTTTGTCAGTTCATAGAACATTTTCCCAAAGGTCTTGGGAAATTATCAAGATGTTTTCTGACACACCTGAGACGAGCTTTTATGTTGTTTCAGCTCAGCAGTGGTTTTCTTATTGGAGCGTCATGTTTTTGCCGGTTTCTTTCTCATGGTGGAGTCATGAACACTCACCTTAACTGAGGAAAGTGAGGCCTGCAGGTCTTTAGTGACCTCTTGGATGAGTTGTCGATGAGTTGTCGATGCTCTCTTGACATAATTTTGGTCATCCAGCCACTCCTAGGAAGGTTATCAACAGTTAAAATCACAAATTTAATCTCTTCCCAACAGGGAAAACCGCAACAATCAAGAATGGATGATTATTTGCTGTCATGACTTTGCAATCAAAAAATATGGTTCTAATGGAAGTCAATGGGGTAAAAACAGCCACAAACATAATGAAAGGGTAGTCAATTTGCCCAGAGTGTTTATTGTTGAGTTTTTAAAACGTTCCAAAGCATTTTCCCAACAAATGTGTCAAAATAAGGTTTGTCATCTAACATCAGTTTATTTGCTGAAACACTGAGAAAGTTGTGGCCAAATTAAGACTCAAAATCACCCAGAGTAAATAAAAATGACCCAGTAGCACACAAGGTTTAAAGGTGCACTTTTCAGGCTTTATGCAGATTTGTTACATTATGTGCATCACAATTACAGCTTGTATAGGAAATGACTTAGCACCTTTGATTTCAGCTTTTGATGAGAGTTATAAAGACTTAATAAAAACCTGTTTTTTTATTTTATTTCAGACCTTATTGAAGAAAATGAGGTGAGTAAAGAGGAGGAACATCATGTCAAAATTGAGGAAAAAAATAATTTACAGACTTGCAGTATTTTGAAAAAGAGAGACAAGAAACCATTCACCTGCACTCAGTGTGGGAAGAGCTTCAGCCAATCATCAATCCTTAATAAACACATGAAGATCCACACTGGAGAGAAACCATTCAGATGCACCAAGTGTGGAAAGAGTTTCTGCCAGTCATCACAACTTACTCAACACATGAGGATCCACACTGGAGAGAAACCATTCACATGCACTCAGTGTGGGAAGAGTTTCAGCCAATCATCACACCTTAATAAACACAAGACAATCCACGCTGGAGAGAAACCATTCACATGTATTCATTGTGGGAAGAGCTTCAGCCAATCATCAAACCTTAATAGACACATGAAGATTCGCACTGGAGAGAAACCATTCACCTGCACTCAGTGTGGGAAGAGCTTCTGCCAGTCATCACAACTAACTCAACACATGAGGATCCACACTGGAGAGAAACCATTGACATGCACTCAGTGTGGGAAGAGCTACAGACAAAAATCAACTCTTAATAAACACAAGAAAATTCACACTGGGGAGAAACCATTCAGATGCACTCAGTGTGGGAAGAGTTTCACCTTCTCATCAAACTATAAAAAGCACATGAGGATCCACACTGGAGAGAAACCGTTCACATGTTCTCAGTGTGGGAAGAGCTTCATCTTCTCGTCAAACCTTAATCAACACATGAGGATCTACAATGGAGAGAAACCGTTCACATGCACTCACTGTGAGAAGAGCTTCAGCCGATCTTCAAGTCTTAAACTACACATGAAGATCCACACTGAAGTAGGTGTTATAATATCTAGCCTATTGCATGCGTGTTCTGTAAGAAAAGGTCAGGAGAGGGTTTTCTTTAATGCCAAAAATATTAGTAATTTATTCGATACAAATAAATCATTTGATGACAGAGCTCTGGATTAAGTTACCCTAATAAAATACAAGAATTACCTTCAAGAGGTTCGCAACTAGCATACATTTCCCTGACTCCAGCTTATGTACACAACTCCTATTAAAAGGTGGAGTATTGGTTTAACGTCACTTATCAATCATTCTGCTGTCCTTTGGCACCTGCACCCCAAACATTCTTCCTCTTTCTGCAACCCTTCTTTGCATATCAGAACTGAACAGCTAAATGTATGTTTAATATATTTCACAACTTCTTCAAGTTGAACTGCCACCTTATCATGGTGGAGGGGTTTGAGTGCCTGAGTGATCCTAAGAGCTATGTTGTCGGGGGCTAATGCCCCTGGTAGGGTCTCCCAAGGCAAATAGGTCTTAGGTGACAGGTCAGACTAAGTGCGGTCCAAAAACCCCCTATGTGTTCGATTACATCAAGAACTGTGACGTTGCCTGGTATGGCGCAGCGGGCTGGTGTGGGCTTGCTTATAGCTCCCCAACTTAGCCGCCATGTGTTGGAGTTTTCCCCGGTGAACGAGAGGGTAGCCTTCCTGCGCCTTCGGGTCGAGAATAGGTCTCTCACTGTGGTATGTGCCTACGGGCCAAACACCAGTGCAGAGTACCCTGCCTTCTTGGAGTCCTTGGGAGGGGTGCTGGAAGGTGCCCAGACTGAGGACTCCATTGTTCTACTGGGGGATTTCAATGTCCACGTGGGTAATGACAGTGATACCTGGAGAGGCGTGATTGGGAGGAACGGCCTCCCTGATCTGAACCCGAGTGGTGTTTTGTTATTGGACTTCTGTGCTAATCACAGTTTGTCCATAACAAACACCATGTTTGAGCATAAGGGTGTCCATCAGTGCACATGGCACCAGGACACCCTAGGGCGGAGGTCAATAATCGACTTTGTGGTTATATCATCTGATCTCCGACCGTATGTCTTGGACACTCGGGTAAAGACAGGGGCAGAGCTGTCAACTGATCACCACCTGGTAGTGAGTTGGATCCGCTGGCAAAGGGGAAAGCTGGACAGACCTGGTAGGCCCAAGCATATTGTGAGGGTCCTCTGGGAACATCTTGCTAAACCCCAAGTCGGAGGGATTTTCAATTCTCGCCTCCGGAAGAGCTTTGACCAGATCCCGAGGGAGGCTGGAGACATAGAGACTGAGTGGTCCATGTTCTCCAACTCCATTGTTAACGCGGCCGTGAGGAGTTGTGGTCGTAAGGTCTGTGGTGCCTGTCGGGGCGCAATCCACGAACCCGGTGGTGGACATCGGAAGTAAGGGATGCCGTCAAGCTGAAGAAGGAGTCCTACAGGGCTTGGGTGGCTTGCACGACTCCCGAGACAGCTGATTGGTATCGACAGGCCAAGCGTACTGCAGCCCGGGCGGTTGCAGAAGCAAAAACTCGGGCCTGGGAAGAGTTCGGGGAGACCATGGAGGAAGACTATCGGTCGGCCCTAAAGAGATTCTGGCAAACTGTCCAGCGCCTCAGGAGGGGAAAGCATCTCCACATCAACGCTGTTTACAGCCTCAACTGGGGATGTTGTCGGGGGGTGGAAGGAATACTTTGAGGATCTCATTAACCTCATCGACATGTCTTTCATCGAGGAAGCAGAGACTGGGGATGCAGGGGTGGACTCGCCCATCACCCAAGCTGAGGTCACTGAAGTAGTTTGCAAGCTCCGCAGTGGCAAAGCCGCGGGGGTGGATGAGATTCACCCTGTGTATCTTAGGTCTCTGGATGTTATTGGGCTGTCGTGGCTGATACGTCTTTACAACATCGCATGGAGGTCGGGGACAGTACCTTTGGACTGGGCAACTGGGGTGGTGGTTCCCATTTTTAAGAAGGGGGACCGGAGGGTGTGCTCCAACTATAGGGGGATCACACTCCTCAGCCTCCCGGGGAAAGTCTATGCCAGGGTACTGGAGAGGAGGATCCAGCTAATGGTTGAACCTAGGATCCAGAAGGAACAATGCGGTTTTCGTCCGGGCAGCAGTACACTGGTCCAGCTCAATACCCTCACCAGGGTGCTCGAGGGTTCATGGGAGTATGCTCAACCAGTCCACATGTGTTTTGTGGACTTGGGAGAAGGCATTCGATCGTGTCCCTCGCGGCATTCTGTGGAGGGTGCTCGGGGAGTATGGGGTCAGAGGTGATCTATTAAGAGCCCTCTCGTCCCTGTATGAACAGAGTAGGAGTCTGGTTCGCATTGCCGGCAATAAGTCAGATTTGTTTCCAGTGCATGTTGGACTCCGGCAGGGCTGCCCCTTGTCACCAATTCTGTTCACAATTTTTATGGACAGAATTTCAAGGCGCAGCCTTGGGCTGGAGGGGGTCCGGTTTGGGAAACACAGGATTAAAATCTGTGTTTCGCAGATGAAGTTGTTCTGTTGGCTTTATCAGACACGGACCTTCAGCATGCACTGGGGCGGTTTGCTGCCGAGTGTGACGCGGCTGGGATGAGAATCAGCACCTTCAAGTCCGAGGTCATGGTGCTCCACCGGAAAAAGGTGGTTTGCCATCTCCAGGTTGGAGGAGGGTCCTTACCCCAGGTGGAGGAGTTTAAGTATCTTTGGGTTTTGTTCACGAGTGAGGGAAAGATGGAACGTGAGATTGACAGGCGGATTGGTTCAGCGGCAGCAGTAATGCGGTCGATGTACCGGTCTGTTGTGGTGAAGAAGGAGCTGAGCCGAAAGGCAAAGCTCTCGATTTACCGGTCAATCTACGTTCCTACTCTCACCTATGGTCATGAGCTTTCTATCATGACCGAAATGAGTTTCCTTCGAAGGGTGGTAGGACGCACACTTATGGATAGGGTGAGGAGCTCTGACACCCGTGAGGAGCCTGGAGTTGAGTCGCTGCTCCTCCACATCGAGAGAAGTCAGCTGAGGTGGCTCGTGCATTTGTTTCGGATGCCTCCTGGACGCCTAGGGAGTTGTTCCAGGCATGTCCCACCGGGAGGCAGCCTCGGGGATGACCCAGGACACGCTGGAGGGACTTTGTCTCTCGGCTGGCCTGGGAATGCCTCGGGATCCCCCTGGAGGAGCTGGAGGAAGTGTCTTGAGATAGGGAAGTCTGGGGTTCTCTCCTAAGACTGCTGCCCCCTCGACTCGGCCCCGGAAAAGCGGCAGAAGATGAATGAATTTCTTCTAGCATCATGACAACTTGTGACATGTCCAGACTTGTTATTAGACAGCAGTCTGAAGCAAGGGCCCCTGCACTATATTTTTATTTTGCTATTTCTCTCTTGTCAGCAGTTCCTTCTAAAAAATATGCAACACAGTAATAAAGAAGAAGTGTGTCTGGTTGATATGTGGTATCATACCAAAGAAAAAGATTGATTAATCCGCTGTTGGTCTAAATGGTTTTTCTAATAAAAAATAAAGACACAAGTAGTAAAAATAAATTCTCCTATTTCACTGCATAGGCGTGGAACAGTAACCGTTTTAAGGTGTACCGCGGTCTGGAAAAGTCAAGGTTTTAAAATTTCCAAAATGTTCTGCTATACCGTTCCTGTGGTATATGGCAGATTTTTCTCTGTTTTGTGTTTAGTACAACAGTATCTCCAGCAAAAAATATATCTAAAGATGCCATTTTAAACTGTAAATAAATCTGTGTTTCTGAAACTAATGAAGACAGCAGAAGACAATGATTTATTTGAATTATTCAGCCTGACATGTTTACTGTGTTCAAAGGAGTAAAATTTTTAGCTTTTTACCCAGACATTTAAAAAGAGCATATTTTGGAGCAGTAATTACAATACCGTCCATGCCTACACTGGAGAAAGGCCATTTACATGTCCTCAGTGTGAGAAGAGTTTCAGACGATTGACACACCACCAGTAAGATATGAGTTAAATTTAAAGTAAATCAACATTGTCCACTGAAAAGACCGAACATGCAATGAACCTTCGTCCACCAGTAGACACCATCGTTGGAGTAACTGGCTGGACCTTACAGCCCATGTGCGCACTGGCCGCGCACCTTCATTTAAAAACAACAAACATGTGCAAACTCTAGAAATAGACGATATGCGAACAGTGCCTCAAAGGCCGCCATCATTGCGATCTCCATCAGTTGAACTTCTTGCACAGACATGGTGGATTCACCTGATTTGTTAACAAACGGGTTACGAATCCATACAGCCCTTACTTTTCATGAAAGCAAGTTAAAAATTAAGCTAAGTTCACTTCAGAATAACGTAGTTTAAACATTTTAAAGAAAATTTGAAAAGTCAACCCAAAACACTTCATAATAAGTGCACTCCCAAAACAAACCACTTACTATTTCTCCTGACTGAATACCCGCAATTCTTCTGAACCTACAGACAGCCAATCAGCTTTCTCAGAACTAGCTACAGGCAGCCAATCGGCTTTCGCTGATTGACGTGCAGGCAAAAATCCCGCTACAGGACTTATTTTGAGGTGGAGATCAGAAAGAGCAGAACTTTGCTGTTTGAGGATTAATTGGTTTAATTCCTCTTCTGTTACGTGTGTTGTTCGTCTGTTCAGAGTAAGTGTATGATATCTGACCATAGTAGCGTTCGCAGACTTGCGGGAATCATCTTGCGGTTTGAACCGCTTTAACATATGTGCTCAATGCTAATATACTCTCTTGTTTTTAGCTCGATGCTACGCTGTAAACACTCTTGTAATGTCTTACTCACGGGTTATCTGGACACCTTTCATTTGTGTCTCCATCTAATTCATGAGATGTAGAATCGGCCACTCAAGACTTACACACACATTTATTGAACAGGGGAGAAACACCTATTTGTAGCTTGTGTGAGAATATTTTGATGATGAAACATATTTTAATAGGATGTATTTTATAAATGATATTAGAGAGTGTTTTAATCCAGGAAATATTTTGAGGAAAATGTTTAGAAAATGTGTTTTCTAGAGGAATTTGACAATATTTATCATTGATCAAACAGATAGAAGAAAGATTTTCATAAGACTTATCATCAGTGTTGTTGTTGTTTGCATGTTTTTAATTCAATTAATGATGTTTAAGAAACAGTTATGATTGTAAATTATATACTGAATATTTAAGGCAAGAGTTTCTGTTATAAATACTGGAATATTCCCATCAGGCTCAAGTGAAGAGTTTACTGAAGGACAGCGAGAACATGAGTGATCCAGAACCCTGCAGAATTAAACCTGAAGATACTGAACAACAAATAGGTTGGTGTTTATTCCTGATTCTTCATTAATAAGCCTGAAGAACAACAATGATGAAAAGCTTTGAACAGTTGACCTCCCAGGAAGGTTTGACATTGTTCAATTTTCCATGTCATTTATAGATAATGGCTTTCACTGTGGTTCACTGCAGTCCCAAAGCTTTAGAAATGACTTTATAACCTTTATAACCTATGCTATTAACATGACGTATGCATATAATAAGGTACAGTATATGTCAAAAGCATCAGTGCAATATCAGACAGCACTTGTGAAAACAGCACAATTATACCGTTAACAGATTCATTCAAGCAGTGCGTGCAGGGACAGTGAGCGCTCCGTGTATCTTTTGGTCACTCAGTTCTGTAAAAAAAAAAAAAGTATTTTCTTGTAATAACGGGATTTCACTGTGACATATTTTCCTTACGCTTGCATATATATATATATATATGAGTGCTTTCGCCTCACAGCAAGAAGGTCGCTGGGTTGCTGGTTTGAACCTCGGCTCTGTTGGCGTTTCTGTGTGGAGCTTGCATGTTCTCCCTGCCTTCGCGTGGGTTTCCCCCACAGTCCAAAGACATGCGGTACAGGTGAATTGGGTAGGCTAAATTGTCCGTAGTGTGTAAATGTGTGTGTGGGTGTTTCCCAGAGATGGGTTGCGGCTGGAAGGGCATCCGCTGTGTAAAATCTTGCTGGATAAGTTGGCGGTTCGTTCCACTGTGGCGATCCCGGATTAATAAAGGGACTCAGCCGACAAGAAAATGAAATGATGTGATGGTGTGCTTTATCTGGCTGATTTCTGCTGAACTGGGCGGGTTGTGTGACGTTTGATTCGGAGGACGTTCTGGGGTTGGGTTTGCGTTATGCAATGCGAGGTACTAGCCCGACAGTGAAAACAAAACATGATTTCAGCCTCGCTGCTTAAGCTCCCGGCCCAATAAAAGCCCTGGCTTGCAATAACCCGACAGTGGAAATGCGGCTCATGTTTTAGTGTGTTTTGACTTCAGCTTTTGATGAGAGTTTTAAAGACTTAATAAAAAACTGATCTTTTTTTTTTTTTTTTTCATTTCAGACCTAATTGAAGAAAATGTTGCGAGTAAAGAGGAGGAACATCATGTCAAAGTTGAGGAAAAAAATCATTTACAGACTTGCAGTATTTTAAAAACGAGAGACAAGAAACCGTTGACATGCGCTCAGTGTGGGAAGAGCTTCAGCCAATCATCAATCCTCAATAGACACATGAAGATCCACAATGAAGAGAAACCATTCACATGCACTGAATGTGGGAAGAGTTTCTACCAGTCATCACAACTTACTCCACACATGAGGATCCACACCGGAGAGAAACCATTCACATGCACTCAGTGTGGGAAGAGTTTCAGACTAATATCAACCCTTAATACACACAAGAAAATCCACACTGGAGAGAAACCGTTCACATGCACTCTGTGTGGGAAGAGTTTCATCTTCTCATCAAACTATAATAAACACATGAGGATTCACAGTGGAGAGAAACCGTTCACATGTTCTCAGTGTGGGAAGAGTTTCAGCGTCTCCTCATACCTCAATCAACACATGAGGATCCACACTGGAGAGAAACCATACACATGCCCTCACTGTGGGCAGAGTTTCAGACAAATATCAACCCTTAATCGACACATGGAGATCCACACTGGAGAGAAACCATTCAGATGCACTCAGTGTGGGAAGAGCTTCATCTTCGAATCAAACTATAATCAACACGTAAGGATTCACAGTAGATAGAAACCATTCACGTGTTCTCAGTGTGGGAAGAGTTTCAGCGTGTTGTCATACCTTACTCAACACATGAAGATCCACACTGGAATGAAACCGTTCAGATGCACTCAGTGTGGGAAGAGCTTCAGCAAATCTTCACTTCTTAAACTACACATGAAGGTCCACACTGGAGTAGGCATGGAACGATAACGGTTTTCAAGGTTTGGTGGAAAATTCTTTTTATTTACTCCGTTGTAGAGCTGCACAATTCTGGCTAAAATGAGAATCGCGTTTTTTTTTTTTTTTTTTTTTGCTTAAAATGAAGATCACGATTTTCTCACGATTCTGTAGATGTAAAATAAAGGTATGGTAAAAACAAACATATAGCACAACATCGATAATAATATTATGTGTAGGTCTACTGGCTTCTATAAATAATTCTATTCTACTTATAATAATTCTGATGTTGAATTATGTTTGAGATATATGCTAGCAATCTGTCATATTAGACAATTTAATTCACTGGTAAAATCAGACATTTGCCATTATCAGATTATATTCAACATTATATTGACCTTATTCTAAAATGCGGAAGTGCGCCTGTTTTCGCGATTGTCTTAGAACTTCCGATTTAGTCGCCTATGGGAGAAATGACTAGGAATAATAAATGGCAGAAAATGGCCAAACTACTTGCTCAACAAACAAATGTTTGCATGACTACACAGACCAAGTAGCATATTATAATAAGAAAATATTAAATTGCAACATCAAGCAGCGTAACGAGCAGTTGTTAACGTCAAAAAATGAATGGAAGTGAATGTGACCGGAAGTCGCGAGACAAAAAGATTCAAATGGCAGCACCCGCTCGACGGCGGAGAATAAGGTGAATAGGCTAGAGTAGTTATACTGACACTGTAAACATTTATTTTCATGCCCAACTGTGGGTTTACTATGAGAGAGAACACATATCAAATGCTTGCCTTAATCATAACTCTAAAATGTGATATGATCATTTAAATGAAGTGCACACTTTCGGTTTCATTTTGACTGCTAAGTGCTTGTTCATACTTCGTGCGGCTCTCAAACGATCACTCTGTGCCACAAACTGAATATTATTTAAAACTGTATTACCTGTTACTCGCAACATATGCAGGTTCTGTTCACTAAAGTAGACGCGCGCGCATCTATCATCAAGTAGAGCACACGCGCCCGCCCTGAAAACTCGCCTGCAACTCACGTCTTGTGTGATTTCCCGATCGCGACAACATCATTATATGTTAAGACAAAAATTACATTTTTAGGTGAATTATACCTTATAAATACAGTATGTGACTCATTCAACATCATCTGGAGGTGTCCAGGTCAGTGAGCAACGTATGTGAAACAATGAAAAGGCTCGTGCAGCCGCCTTTTCTTCTCTCCTGAACTTGAAAATATGATTGGCAGAATCGTAGAAATGCTGGATTAAGATCGTCTAGGGGGTCGAATCGAGATCGCGATCTTTTAACGATTAATTGTGCAGCTCTACTCAGTTGTATACATAGTAAGGTCTGTTCTTCTTTTTATCTCTATGTATGTACTGTTTAAGTTAGACCAGGGGTGTCCAAACTACGGCCCGCGGGCCATCTGCGGCCCGCAATCAGTTTTGTGGCGGCCCGCGAGGCTTTTTATAAATATCAATAGCATCTGGCCCGCTATACAAAAATGAACGTAATTCAATAAATAACCACCGGGTGTCGCTATTACATGCATTTAATTAAGCAGCAGTTCTTGTTATGATCTATCTATCTATCTATCTATCTATCTATCTATCTACACAGTTGAAGTCTGAATTATTTGCCCCTCTTTGATTTATTTCTTCTTTTTTAAATATTTCCCAAATGATGTTTAACAGAGCAAGGACATTTTCACAGTATGTCTGATAATATTTTTTCTTCTGGAGAAAGACTTTTGTTTTATTTCGGCTAGAATAAAAGCAGTTTTTAATTTTTTATGAACCATTTTAAGGTCAAAATTATTAGCTCCGTAAGTCTTCAGAACAAACCATTGTTGCCTAATTAACTTGCCTAATTACCTTAATTTGACTAGTTAACTTAACTAACCCAGTGAAGCATTTAAATGTCACTTTAAGCTGTATAGAAGTGTCTTGATAAATATCTAGTCAAATATTATTTACTATCGTCATGGCAAAGATAAAATAAATTAGTAATTAGAAATGAGTTACTACAGTAATATGTTTAGAAATGTGTGTGTGTGTGTGTGTATATCAAGCGGCAACCTCCTGCTCTCCCTCAGGAAGCCAATACGGAAGTAACTAAAACTGCAATTCATCCGAAATTCCGCTAGTCCTGGCCTCTCCTGGCTCCAAAACAGAGCAAATTTCAATTGAGCCCACTGTTAGAATGGCCAACTTTACAGCAGAAAAAAAGGTGTTTACAGCCTGGTACAAAAAAAGATTTTGGTTAATACAGGTAATATTACCCTTCATGACAACTGTGAGGGGGGTGAATTTTTTCATAACTTATCCGTTTCCTTTATATTAAGTTATATTAAGTTTGCATAATTAAGGGAGTGGCCACTTGAGTGACAGCTAGGTCTCGCTGGTCGCCGTCACGTCACCTCAGCTGAATCCTGCAGATTAGCCACTGAACTCGGCATATTTATCGTATTTCTGTGTTGTTTTATGTGGCTTTACACAGTCAACTGCCTTTTGGACTTGTTTCCCACAATTATTAGATGGCATGGCATGCTGAGGGCACTTAATTGTGCTCACAAAACATTCACGTGGCCTCCGTTTCCCATGTGAGTAAAGTTATATACTTATATACCATCTCTATACGTGTATTTGTTTTATTTAAGATCATTTATCGTTTATATTTATATTTAGAGCTGTAATGCATTCCAGAATCTGTCAGATTGATTAGCTGTAGGCTCTAGAACAGTCATCTGAAGCGTTGTCATACAGTTGTCATGCTGGATTTCATTAATAGTCTTACATTTACTAACACAGACTATATCTAAAGTGTTTGGAAGTAATTCGCGTTTTCCTCCTGTTGAAAAACGTCATAAGAACAATGTTTAGTGGCTCAATGTATTACAGCAGTGTTTTTAAAAGTCTAAACACTTTATTGATATAGTATACAACCAAGCACAAGTGGTCAGAATACAAACGAGTCACAGGTGATAAAGTATAAAGCGTTTCTCCCAAAGTAAAGTGTGTCTGAACCAGGTCCAAGCTAAATGCTAGCAGGTGTCTGTAGCTCCGCTCACTCTCCGCCTCTTTGCCCTTGTTTGGTATCCCGCCGTGGGTGTGATGACGCGTGACCAAAATGGCGACGGTTGGCCGCGCCTACTTGTGGCTTCTTTTGCGCTCTTCAGAAACCTATGGGTGACGTCACGGATACTACGTCCATATATTTTACAGTCTATGGTGTATATATATATATATATATATATATATATATATATATATATATATATATATATATATATGCGTGTCTGTGTGATATGTAAAATTTGGCCCGCGACAATGTTTTTTTTTTTTTTGCATCTGGCCCTCGGCCCAAAAAGTTTGGACACCCCTGAGTTAGACCATACGTGACTAGTTTAACCTTTCTGTATACATTACACAGCTAGGCTATATGTGACCACTTTAACATCTGTTTATCACCAGACAAGATCTGGATACATGATGATTTAACAAGATATATGTTTGGGTGAGAGGTAAGGCTGAAATATAGATGGTCAGAAATGAAGCATGAGCGTTGATGTAACTGTGATTCATCCTGTATGTCACTAATATCATTGTGGGCGTTACAACTAGATAAGAAGAGAACACACACTGCTATTGGTCTCACATCTGCAGAAACCTGTGTTCTGTATGATTGTCTGATCTTCTTTGCAAAGAATAAAACTTTAAAAGACACTTTGGGTAAGACTTTGTCTTCTTTACCACTGAGAGAGCCTCCTTAAAGAAAATAGCCACTACAAAGGTATACCACGGTTTAGAAAAGTCAAGGTTTTAAAACAGACACAATTTTCTGCTATGCCGTTCCTGTGGTATATGACAGATTTTTTACTTAGCTTTTTTTTGTTTAGTTTCTTAGGATCACAGTATCTCCAGCAGAAAAGATATCTAAATTGCCTTTTTAAACTGGAAATAAATCTGTGTTTCTGAAACTAATGAAGACAGCAGAAGTCAAAGATTCATTTGAATTATTCAGCCTGACATGTTAAAATATTTTGTGTTCAAAGGGGGAAAAGTTTTTTTTTTTTTTTTTTTTACCCAGACATTTAAAAAGAGCAAATATTAGAGCAATAATCACAATACCGTCAAACAATTATATGTTTATCCAAGGTTATCATACTCTCAGAATCTTATACCGGCCCATGCCCACACTGGAGAGACCATTCACATGTTCTCAATGTGGGAAGAGTTTCAGATGATCGACACACGATCATACACACGTCAAGAGTAGGGCTGGGCGATATGACAAAAACTCTATTTTTTGTTTCAATATTAAACAATAAATTGATAAATTACTATGTAAGTTGTTAATGCTTCCAGCTTTAAAAGTTATTATCACAACAATGACTTATGCTACAAAAATTAGAGAGTTGATTAAATTACAATTTAAAATATTGTTTATTAACAGACACAGATTACACATTTGACCTTAAATTAAAACAAATAGAAAAATACATTTAAAAAGACTAATCTGTTCAAGGTCTGGCATTACGAGGTGAATTAAACGTGCAAAACGTAAACAAAAATATACACTACAACTTCCAGCAAGTCCAAACTAATTGTGAAGCTTTTCGGGTGTTTCAGGTGATGGAGTATGCCGGTCGTGTTGGCAGATTTGGCTTTCACAAACCATTGACATACTTTTTTCATACTAAGTTTTTTCATCCGTCAAATAAACACGGCAGGGCTACTAACTCAAATCAATCCCTACATTGAAAACACACATCTTTAATGCTTCACTATATCACAAACCTCTGTCAACTACTTTAATACAAGTCATTATTAAAGATTAAGGGCTCTATTTTAACGATCTAGGCACAAAGTCTAAAGCGCATGGCACAAAAGCATTAAGGGCGTGTCTGAATCCACTTTTGCTATGGATGGAAAAATGTGGTCTGCACCATAGCGCATGGTCTAACAGGGTTGTGCTTATTCTCGTAATAAGTTATAGGTGTGTTTTGAGAATTAACCAATCAGAGTCTCATCTCCCATTCCCTTTAAGAGTCAGTTGCGTCATCATGGCACATTTGCTATTTACATGGCGGACTTTGGAAGTGGAAAAACTGAACAGCTCACTAGTGAGAAAACGGTTAAACAGCATCTGCAGCGCGAGCATAAAGAACGAGCCTCCTCCATTCGGCTTCTTTCACTTTCTATTTTTCTGTGGATAAGGAAACATTGTTGTATGCATTCCTCTGAAGACATTAGCCTACATATTTAATTTAGTTTAAGCACAACAATTTGTTTTAAAACTGTTTCTAAATTCAGTTCTGATTTCCAGCAAACGAATAAATGAGCAGTAATAATGAAGTGTGAATCAGAATCGGCAGGCTAGCGCAGAAGCACCATTGAATATACTGGGGTAAAATAAACGCTCATATAAAGACATGGCAGGGGAAAATGTAATTGAATGCAGTGCTTCTTGTACAATCTGAGACCCACTATATATCAGATATCACTCAGCTAGTGGAGATCGCAGATTTTTAAGGAAAACAGACCTTAAACTCGCCGATTTTGCATTGGCATACAGTTCACCAGAAGTTGTTAATCCAGGTTACTGGCAAAATAAAAGTCCTATTAGCATGCTTCGGCATATACCCTATTAAAAACTTCTCATAGGCATCTGATGTAAAATTATAAAATAAGAGCCCTTTAAACCTTATACAAAACACTGTTTGGCCCTGATTAAACAAATATTTATAATAATAATAAAACTATTAGATTTAACAGGCCAGTTTTACCTCAGATTGACAGTGAACATTACCAAAGTGTCAGCTAAACACTTCTCATGGGTATATGTTTCTTTCCTTATTTATGTTTCTTTCCTTCTTTATCAGGTCATAATTTTTGAGTGTATCACACAAAACCAAGATAAAAAACGCTTAACGTAGTTTAAACATTTTTAAAGAAAATATAAAGTCAACCCAAAACACTTCATAATAGGTGCAGTCCTAAAACTGAACCTACAGGCAGCCAATCAGCTTTCTCGGAGCCAGCTACAGGCAGCCAATCAGCTTTCGCTGGTCAGCGTGCAGGCAAATATCCCGCCCACGGCGCTTATTCTGAGGCGGAGATCGGAGAGAGCAGAACTTTGCTGTTTGAGGATTAATGTGTTTAATTCCTCTTCTGTTACAGGTGTTGTTCGTCTGTTCAGAGTAAGTGTATGATATCTGACCATAGTAGCGTTCGCAGACTTGCGGGAATTATCTTGCGGTGTGAACCGCTTTAACATATGTGCTCAATGCTAATATACTCTCTTGTTTTTAGCTCGATGCTACGCTGTAAACACTCTTGTAATGTCTTACTCACGGGTTATCTGGACACCTTTCATTTGTGTCTCCATCTAATTCATTCACTAAGAGGTAGTTTAATGCTGATTATATTGACTATTGACTGTTTAACTGAACATATGCTTGTGTAAACTCTTGAAGAGACGCAAACGCTTTATTTTGCAGTAAAGCAGAATTTGGGATTAGTATAATAATATAAAACACTTAATTCATTAAAATATTGAGAGATAAATGTAAGCAATCAGAGACATGATCACGCTGCACACATGACATGTAGAATCGGCCACTCAAGACTTACACACACATTTATTGAACAGGGGAGAAACACCTATTTGTAGCTTGTGTGAGAATATTTTGATGATAAAACATATTTTAATAGGATGTATTTTTAAAATGATATTAGAGAGTGTTTTAATCCAGGAAATATTTTGAGGAAAGCGTTTCAAAAATGTGTTTTCTGGAGGATTTTTACAATTTTACAGACTTTTTATCAGTGTTGTTGTTTTTATATTTTTAATATAATTATTGATGTTTCAGGAACAGTTATGATTGTAAATTATGTACTGAATATTTAAGGCAAGGGTTTCTGTTATAAATGCAGGAATATTTCCATCAGGCTCAAGTGAAGAGTTTACTGAAGGACAGCGAGAACATGAGTGATCCAGAACCCTGCAGAATTAAACCTGAAGATACTGAACAACAAATAGGTTGGTGTTTATTCCTGATTCTTCATTAATAAGCCTGAAGAACAATAATGATGAAAAGCATTAAACAGTTGACCTCCTAGGAAGGTTCTTCACTGTTCAATGTTTTTAGCATTTATAGAAAATGGCATTCACAGTGGTTCCCTGCAGTCCCAAAGCTTTAGAAATGACCTTGTAACCTTTTCCAGACCGGCAGATCTCAAATATTTTCTTTCTCATTTGTGTTTAAATTTCTTTGGATCTCAGAATGTTTTCTAGCTTTAGAGGCTCTTTTGGTCTACTTCACTTTGTCAGGCAGGTCCTATTTAGAAGTGATTACTTGATTGCTAACAGGTGAGGCAGTAACGCCAAATAATCATGCATTTTTGTTGGGGTTTTTCCCAGTTGTGAAGGGGTACAATTTGTCATTATTACTGTTGATCATCAGTTGGCCATATTAACCCTATAGATAGGCCTATGCTAAAAGTTTTGGGCTTTTATATAGAGTGCTATGGAGAAAAACGGCAAATTATGGTGTGCGTGCAGAAATACACTTACTATGTTTACTCTGTTCTGAAAGCTAAATTGATATTTTTTTCTTAAACATATCAAGGTAAATGTGCAAAGGTCTGTCATTCTCTCTCTCTCTCTCTCTCTCTCAATTCAATATTTGCTTTATTGGCGTTACAAATATATTGCCAAAGCAGTTATAGTTACATAAAATAGTGTTAAAAAGTTATAAAGTACATAAAAATAAAAGAACATACATATTTATTAAAAAAATACCAGAAACAGTAGTAGTACAAGTAATAAATATTTATATATATATATATATATATATATATATATATATATATATATATATATATATATATATATATATTAGTGCTGTCAAAATTAGTGCGTTAACGCATGCGATTAATTTGAAATATTTAACGCATTAAAAAAATGAACGCAGTTGCAGTTTTTTTTTTTTTTTTTTTTCCTTTTGTGGTTGACGTGTTCAACATGCAATGAAATATGGATAAGACCAAGGAAGCACTTTGTTACGGCAAGTTTCAGTATAAAACAATTAATGTGGCATTACCAGGCTCTCCAGCGTTTCCTCCAGAATTTCATGCAATTTCGGGTGTTTCATTTTTAACTTTCGACTTTTGTTTTAATGGAATTGATACCACATGGCGAACAGAAAGAAAAACCTACGCATTTCATGACTCAGTGGTCCTTTAAGGTAATCAAAAATAGCTGTTTATATTGTAGACTCTTAATAAGAGTGTTATCTTAATCATATTAAAATCGGAGTATTGGTGTCCATTTAAGTTTGACGTGTTTCCCCCTTAAACACAACTTTTGTAAAGTGTTTGCTTCGCGTTGTTGTGTCAGAATCCTTGTGATATACAGCCATACTTTAGAACGCTTAGTTTAAGCAAATTTGATCATGCGTGTTGAATTTGAAGGCAATTGCTCTGGCTGCCCTGTCCTGCACGCGTTCTGTCTGTGTGTGTGTGTGTGTGTGTGTGTGTGTGTGTGTGTCTGCGTTTCTTAGCAACAAACCTGCATAAACCTGCCTAAACGTCGTTGTCCGTAGCCACTAAATCAAAAAGTTACGAATTGCCATGAGATTGTGTTGCACTCTCAGCTCACATCATTCAAAAGAAAAGGTCCACGTTGTCCCCCTATAATGTCAACAGACTGGACAGTTTTAGCAACTGTCTGAATGTAAAGGAGAACGGAGTAAAATTGATTCTACTTTATAATTAATGTTCTCAACTCACAGCAATACAACTTTACAACGAGTACAATTGTTTGTATACTTTATCAATTCTTTATTATAATTTTCCATATCTGCAATTCCTGTATTTTGCCATTTTTTTTTTCAGTCCACTTAGAATCCAACATGGAAATCAAATGTTTTCTTTATTGGCATTGATTGTTTTGAAATTTAAATGTCATTAACATGCCTGTGTTTTAATTTCTGTAATAAATATGGCTGTCAAGCAGGATCTTGATGGTTTATTGTGGGTATGTTGTTTACATGAAGAAATCTGTGTTACAAGTAAACAAAAATTCTAATAACAATTATTTTTTAAATTTGAATAGTTTTTGTCTTGCGTTTACATTAATTTTACATTTGTATAGCCAAAATGACAAGTTTCAGTCTTTTAAATGTGATTAATCGCTTTTTAATTTTCAAAAAAAGTGTGATTAATTAATTAGTTTTTTTTATCGATTGACGGCACTAGTGTATATATAATATTTACATAAAAAAATAGATGAATAATATCTATTATTCAATATATCATTTTTATTAAAAAAAACTGCCACAAACATAATGAAACGGTAGTCAATTTGCCCAGAGTGTTTATAGTTGAGTTTTTGAAAAGTTCCACAGCATTTTCCCAACATATGTCAAAATAAGATGTCACCAAAAATCTGTCCATTTGCTGAAACACTAAGAAACTTGTGGCCAAATTATCACCCCGAGTGGATGAAAACAACCCAGCAGCACACAAGGGTTAAAAGTGCACTTTTCAGGCTTAATGCAGATGTGTTACATTTGTAAGGCTTGAAGCCTACGCTGCTATTCTGAATAATAGTCGGAAACAGAAAGCAGTTGAAGGATGGCGTGTTTAAATCCATTATATATCTGACTCCAGTCTTATTAATCTGACTCCATTAAAGTTGTTATCATCACTAATAAAGAGAAAGAATCTCTACGTCTTAAAGCAGGCAAAGATGTTTATTGAGTTACATGTTTAAATATACAGACAGTAGAATAAAACAAACTAGCATACTGTATAAAGAAATTAGCTGTAACGTATGCACTGCTGAGCAACAAAAACAGTGAAGCTGCCTTTGTTAGCATATGAGGCTACGCACTCGTGTGCGGGAGATGCAGAGTAAAAGCCATTCTCCCAGATCAACAGTTACCTTTCCCTATTATACCCTGAGCAGAGCATTGTCAAACAAGAGTGAAAACCAACCCCCAAAACCAGCTGAACATGAGAGCAAAGTTCAGGAGATGAAGTGGGGGAGAAGTACATTAACATACTCTCCTCAGGCCATGACTAACAATAGTAAATATATTGTAGATTGAAACACAATTAATCAATGTCTCTGTTGATTTCATCACTACAACACTGAAGTCATGAACTGTCAAATCACACCAAACATAGTAAAGTTATATGAAGGAAGATCACGAGCAGATGAATTGTGTATGGTGAAGAGCACATGGTTACTGGAAGCACATGGCAGAGATGTGTATTGGAGCTGTGAGGAACCACTACAGGAGGACCCATCCCATGCTTAGAATGTCTCAGTAGTCCTTCATTAGCATAGAAGGAATAGCATATATTTTCTCAACTTACACATTAATGTGCATCACATTTCCAGCCACGTTTCTACTTTCGTGTCTAAAGGCGCGAGCCAGGGTCAGTCGCGTTTTTACTAGCCGCGTTTCCACTATCGCGCATAAAGGGAGCGAGCCAAGGCCGGTGGCGTTTTCACTAGCCGCGTTTCCACTATCGCGCCTAAAGCGAGCGAGCGAGCCAGGGTGAGCCAAGGCCAGTGGGGTTTCCACTGTCACTTCCGGGGCCTAATCGGGCCAAAGCGGGGCTTTCTTGGGGCCAACGGCTGGCCTTTTTCGGCCCGCCGAATACCTTGGGCCAGCTGGGGCTTCGGGGCGGAGTGAAAGGAGAGGCGGGCAGTTTTCTGATCGCACATGAGTACATGAGCCAAACACAAATAAAGAAATAAGGGAAAGAAAACATCTGGCCTTATAGTCTGGGGTCTTTTTGCGTATGATCGCCCTTATGTTTCCCTTTTAAATGTAAGGCTGCTGCATACAATAATAAAGTAGTTTTAATTTATAGTGACGTTTTTTGCTGCGTCCTCCTTTATGTTTCAATAACGCATAATAATCTTTACACCATATTAAAGACACAACAGACAGTAAAAGTTTTCCAGAGTTTTTGTCAAGTTTAAAATGTTTGTTTGTGCGCGTTTAAATGCCTGGCTGTATGTGTGTGTGAGACCGGGCAAAAGCGCTCCTTCACAGCTCTGTTGATTCCGCGAGCGGCTTTTTCCTTTATTTATTTTGGAGATTAAACAATATAAATGCAACAGAAAGACACAAAACTTAACAAATTACGTGCCCACTTTTGTAGACTTTAAACAATGTATTGTCATATCTTGATCAAATAGCCTGAGCTATATTGAAATATAATTTAAAGAATTACAAATATCGGATTTATATAAAATCACATTAAATAAATAAACCAATATAAAATAAACAAAAGCTAACTACAACAATGTAGGTAGCCTATATACAATACATAGATCAAACCGTTTTAAAGCCACATATAGCCTATAACTTTCATTTTACAAAGACCTGTCTGAAAAAAAAGATTCTAGATATTTTCTAAAAACAAACACCGAAGGTTTGAAATATTTATATAAAGTAAATATTTGTATAAGTAAATATTTAGGCTATAAAGTATTTGGATACGATGATATTAATCAAATCGCGCAAACAGAGCATTAGGTGAAAGCAGAATCTAGCCTATACCTTTTTTCTGTCACTCCTGCGCTGCGCTCGCTGCTTTAAACGCATCGGGAGAAAGCCCAAACACAAAATGTGTTCTATATCCTCAAACAACTGTTTATGTTTTAATTTGATGATGTTTAAATTTATAAATGAAACTTTAAATGAAGAGCTTTAGTGAACAGCTGCCGAGCACAACAAATATGGCTATATTTTATTAGGCTACTCGCTCTTGTGCTGAAAACTTAACACGACGTCTCAAAACGAGGATGTTATAAAATACATGCCATATCGAGTTATAAAGGAGAATTTCTGTGGCTTTATATTATGGATGTGTGCACTCACTGTGTTGGGTCCCTCCGTTAGTGGCGAGAGCACTATGCACAATGCCAACAGTCGGTCGGCGAGTAAACAAATGTAATGAATGGAAATACATATCTGTGTAGATATACATACTATATAGAAATACATACTATATAGTATGAATGGAAATACACAGGTCTGTGCGTATAGACATTTCATGTACTGCTGTACAGTAACCTGTCGTTTGTTTGTTTTTTTTTGTCTTCATTTTAATGGTTTGGTTTCGTGATGATTCTATGGTGTGCTTTATCTGCCTGTCCTGATTCCCACTGAAGTGGTCAGGTTGTGTGACGTTTGATTCGGGGACGTTCTGGGGGCGGTGTTTGCGTGACGCGCTGTGAGCTACTAGCCCGACAGTGGAAACGCAACATGATTTCAGCCTCATTTCTCAACCTCCCGGGCTATTGGCCCGGCCCGATTAAAGCCCTGGCTCGCACTGGCCCGATAGTGGAAATGCGGCTACTGTCACTTCCGGGGCTTAATCGGGCCAAAGCAGGGCTTTCTTGGGGCCAGCGGCCGGCCTTTTTCGGCCCGCCGAATACCTTGGGCCAAAGAGAGCCTGCAGGGGCTTTGGGGTGGAGTGAGAGGCAGAGTTTGCCCGAGTCTGGTAAAGCACATGAGTACGTGCACCAAAAAATGTATTTAATTAGGGAAAGAAAAACAAAGCTGGTCAGTTTAAGATGGGCTATTCCATAAAACACCTTATAGGCTGGGGGTCTTTTTGTTTATGATCGCCCTTATGTTTCCCTTTTAAATGGAAGGCTGTTGCATAAAAAAAAAGTCATTTTATTTTATCAGTGATATTTCTTCGCTGGGTCCTTAATGATGTTTCAATAACGCATAATGATCTTTACACCACATTAAAGACACAGCCGCCAGTAATTTTCTGTTGGTGAGAGTTTTTGTGAAATTTAAATAGTGTGTTTGTGCATGAAATGTGCGCGTTTAGATGCATGTGTGTGTGTGTGTGAGAGAGACTGGGCAATGGATGCTGTGAGCAGCTGGGTTAATTTCTTTATTTAATTTTGGAGATAATGCAAAATATGAATACAACAGAGAGACATGAAATTTGACAAACGACATGTCCACTTTTGTAGGCTCAACACAATAGTGTCATATCAAGATAAAATAGCTTAAACTATATTGAATTCATTCAAAGAATTACAAATATCGAATATAAAATCACATTAGATGAACCAATATAAAACAAACGAACACTATAACAGTTTAGGTATATACAATACAAATAAATTAAACCATTTCAAACCATTTAAACTTTTTTTTTTTTTACAAAGGCCTCTCTGAAAAAAAAAAAAAACTTTTTTCTAAAAACCATAAACAATGAAGGAGTGTTGAAATATTATTTATAAAGTATTTGAACACTATTATATTAATCAAATCATGCAATAAGACCGTTTTTGGGTGAGTGAAACCATCAGATACTACCTTATTTTCTGTCATCCAGTCGTGCACTGCTTTACAAATGGATTAGGAAAAACTGCATGTGAATAATGTGTTGTATGTCCTCAAACAAGTGTTTATGTTTATAACATGGTCATATAAAATAATTGTAGAGCTTTATTAGTGAATATCTGCTGGGCACAACGATATATATGCTATAGCCTATTTTATTACTTGCTCTTATGTCCTGAAACACTTCACTAAATAAAGGGGAATTACCTATTACGCTGAACTGGGTGGGGTGTGTGACGTTTGATTTGGGGGATGGTCTTGGGGCGGGGTTTGCGAGATGCGGCGTGAGCTACTAGCCCAATAGTGAAAACGCGACATGATTTCAGCCTCACTGCTCAAGCTCCCAGGCTATTGGCAGTAACTCGACAGTGAAAATGCAGCTCATGTTTTAGTGCGTCTTGACGTCAGCTTTTGATGAGAGTTTTAAAGACTTAATAAAAAAACTGATCTCTTTTTTTTATTTCAGACTTAATTGAAGAAAATGTGGCAAGTAAAGAGGAGGAACATCATGTCAAAGTTGAGGAAAAAATTAATTTACAGACATGCAGTGTTTTAAAAACGAGAGACAAGAAACCATTGACATGCGCTCAGTGTGGAAAGAGCTTCAGCCAATCATCAATCCTTACTCCACACATGAAGATCCACACTGAAGAGAAACCATTCACATGCACTGAATGTGGGAAGAGTTTCAGACAAATATCAACCCTTAATACACACACAATCCTCACTGGAGAGAAACCATTCAGATGCACTCTGTGTGGGAAGAGCTTCACCTTCTCATCAAACTATACTAAACACTTGAGGATCCACACTGGAGAGAAACCGTTCACATGTTCTCAGTGTGGGAAGAGATTTAGCGTCTCGTCATCTCTTAAGCAACACATGAGGATCCACACTGGAGAGAAACCATTCACCTGCACTCAGTGTGGGAAGAGCTTCAGACAAAGATCAACCCTTTGTAGACACATGGAGATCCACACTGGAGGGAAACCGTTCACGTGCACTCAGTGTGGGCAGAGTTTCAGACAAATGGCAACCCTTAAAGGACACATGGAGATCCACACTGGAGAGAAACCGTTCAGATGCACTCAGTGTGGAAAGAGTTTCACCTTCTCATCAAACTATAATAAACACATGAGGATCCACACTGCAGAGAAACCATTCACATGTTCTCAGTGTGGGAAGAGCTTCAGCATCTCGTCATCCTTTAATCAACACATGAGGATCCACACTGGAGAGAAACCATTCACCTGCACTCAGTGTGGGAGGAGTTTCAGACAAATATCAACCCTTAATAGGCACATGAAGATCCACGCTAGAAAGAGACTATTCAGATGCACTCAGTGTAGGAAGAAATTCAGTAAACCTTCACATCTTAAACTACACATGAAGGTCCACACTGGAGTAGACATGGAACTATAACTGTTTTCAAGGTGTGGTGGAAAATTCATTTTATTCATCTTATATTTACAAATTTTTATACGTAGTAAGGTCTGTTCTTATTTTCATCTCTATAGCCGCTTTTCCACTATCGTGTCGAACCGTTCTAAGAACACTTCGGTACGGTTACGGTTGTTTCTCCATTGAGCCTGGAATGGCGCAGCATGATTACAAAGCGTTCTCAGCACAGTTAGACAACAATGCTGAACTGTGCCGACAGATTCTGTATGTTGACGTCACGGCTTTGTTGCCTAGCTGCCACAGCTAGCTCAGCAGAAGAGCGCTAGTCATCAGACATCCACAAGTAAAGAACACTACATTCAATATAAAAAAATGGTACAGGTCTAAACAATACAGTTTGAAAAGGGTTTAAGGGTGCTTTCACATCTGTAGTTCGCTTCATTTGGTCCAGACCAAGGGCAATAAATGATACATTGTTGCATTTTCTGCCGTCTTTGGGTCGTTTTCACACCACACTGCTGGCTTTGGTCCGACCCAGCTGAAACGAACCAAAATGCAGTCATCTGATAAAATCCACATCTCTCATTGGCCAGATGTTAGTGAACATAGTTCCTAAACTGCTTATTGATTGGTCAGAATTCACGTGCGGGAAAATGCCAATGAACTCCCGCAAGTAAACAAACCGGCAGACACAAAATGTCGTTTTTACTCTGGAGGGACGACTGCGCTGGCTGATTGTATGCCTGCTTTAGACAAACTTTACATTTCGAGAAATGAAGCGCGGCTGGAAAACAGTGTTTAATGCATCGCTCGTCACTTCAGGAGGAGGCGTGAATTAATGTAGCTAAACTGCGACATGGTCATCTTGCGGAAATATTACAACGATCCATCAGGTAATGTTTTCCCCTCTCTCTCTCTCTGTTGGTAAAGTGCTGTCAGCAAATATTTTTCCTCCATATCCCATAATGCACAGCACATCGGCCTACAGCAGCTGAATTAGTCCCAAAGGCGCAGTGCTTTTTGCGGTTTTACCTGTTTTAGTACGGATCATATTCTAACCACAAACGAATCGCTCCAGGGTTCGTTTGAAAGCGTACCGAGACCACCTCTTCAGGCAGGTCTCGGTACGGTTATTTAATCCGCTTTTGGTGCGCACTCGAGTACGATTGCTGCATTTTCACCTGCCCAAACGAACCGCACCAAGAGGAAAAACGAACTCTAGTGCGATTCAATCGAACTAAATAAGGCAGGTGTGAACGCACCCTAAAACCACCGAGCAGTCTCTGGCAGAGAAGTGAATAATTCGTTTCATTCTTTCGAAGATTAATAAAGTTATTATTTCATTGACTTGAATACAATTAACCATGTATGATATAATTACTAACCTGTCATCTAAAATCTTAGAAATCATAAAATAGCTTACTGTTTTGTTCATGGCTAGAGCTTGAATAATTAGTTTGAAATCCTAGGCAATAAGACCTTTAATTCGTCTGACTGAGTGTGTGTTTATTGAACGCAGCGCTGTATTTGATAGCACAAAACTCTGAGAGAGAACTTTACCAACTACATGCGGTGCTGAAAGACTTTTTCCTGCTGTGCATCATATAAAGACACTCTTAACATCATTGATGTCCAAGTTCCACAACAACATCGCCATATCCATGGAATACGCAAACCTGCAGACACTTTGAACAGGAAATAAATGCACTATTTAATTCAAAGCCCAGACGGCTTGTTAATTTAATACTAGCAAAACCATGAAGGACAATTACGGTGTGTTGTAATGTCGGCGTCCACGTCTTCGGTAGAAAGTTAACTCTTTCTTTAATTGTTTTTGGACTTTGCTTGAAAGCTTTACAGAGTGGCACTGTAGCTGTCAAAGGTACTGTTGTATGATTTATATTATAGCCTATATATGCACTAATAAACTAGTCAAATAAATAAATAAATTAAATAAATATAGATTCTTAAGTGTCTGTATTGCTTTTACTCAAAAAATACCACTAGTTTTTGACAATTGTTTTATAAGAATAAAATGAGCAATTTTCATCATTTCAGCTATAGGCCATTATGTGATTCAGTTATACATAAGTTGGACATTTATGGGGGCATGTTAACATGTTTCTGTGTTTTAGTTTTTTGTTCTGTGTGATCTTTAATATAGCTATGCAAATATTTTCTAAAACGTCAAGCAGGAATTTATCTACTGCTTGTTAGTTAATTATTAAGACTAAAAATGAATTGAAATAACAAAAATAAAAATATAAAAGAGAAAAAGAGCAGCATTTTGCTGAACATAATAGTATTTTTTATGCTTTACATCCTGATATATATGTGTTGTTTCATATGCGTTTTTATTTCACTTGCTGCATTCGTTATTTAAAGGGCACCTATGGTGAAAAAAATCTACTTTTTAAGCTGTTTGCACAGATGTATATGTTGGTATAGTGTATAGACCGTCATATTGGGGTGAAATGAACACACACAGTGCTTTTTTTTTGTTTTATTTGTTTTTTTGTTTGTTTTTTCAATTGAACAACATAAAAACGGTGGACCAATTGGAGCGGTTTTCAGACCGACCGGAACTTGACGTAGGAGTGCTGTCCCCCAGCTCGCTGAACTAATTGACAGCTTCGGGTTGTAACATGTCCCAGTAGTCACTTGTATAATCATACCAACAAGACCAGATGTGCGCAAAGCAACCGGGAATTAAAGGTCTGTTCAGTTGGCTAGGATCATCAGTCATCATCAAATGTGCGTTTCACATGTTTAAAATGTTTTAAAACAGTGCACGTGTGTAATTAATTACAGCGATTTACTTCAGCTTTACTTCATCAGCACAGCCGCGAGTCAGAACAATTATGAAAGAAGACGCTTCAATCCCGATTTGTGGACGTTAAATCAGGTTTATTGTGCATTACCATAACAGATCTCCACACAGCAGTAGAAATTAGCCTGTATCCTGTCACATTTGCGTGCAAAAAGAATGCAAAGCTAAACGCGCTCTATTTGTCTGTGTGTGTGTCGGTCTGTATCTCGTGTGTTTGTGTGCGCTCGTGTGAACTTTGTACATTGACGTTGTGTGTTGATGCATCTCCACAACAAATACTCATTGGTAAAGTTCTTACTGTTGTATTTCTCACAAACGCTACGTGAGATGTTCTTCCTTTAAGTCTGGCTGTTGTCTGACGCAGGCGAGGGAGAAGATTAAGGCACGCAGAAAGGCATGTAGAAACTGTAGGCGGGGAGGACTCGCCTTTAAGGTGCAGTACGACAAAACAACCCCCTGGTGGAAAAATGTGTAAAGTAGAATCTAGTAAAAGGTATAATGAAAAATCTGATGGGTGTTTTGAGCTGAAACTTTACAGACACATTCTGGAGATGCAAAACACTTGTATTAAATCTGAAAAAGGGGTAACCTAGGTGCCCTTTAATGTTTGAGTACTGAAACAAATAACACCCATCGCTTAAAGGGTTATATTTTACCATCAAAATGTAGTATATTTTATATCATTGTCATCTTTTTTGATATAAATCCGCTGTGTGATTTAATTGATTGTTAAAAAAGAAATAATTTAAGTGCTATATTTTTATTCGTAATAGTGACCGCTTACTTTTGACAAGGCCTGTCCAAAAATATATTTCTGCCACTATAATGCAAATGCCCTGTTATTGTTGCATTATCATTGTTTAATTTTCTGTTATGTTCAGAGATTTGAAATATATTATTTATTTCCCCTCCAATAATTTTCAATCCTCGCGTTACAATTTGGTAATTTTCCCTCCAAATTATATTAAGCCAGAGCCGCTCAACATATGACCTCTAAATAAATAAGGGTGCTATGACATGTACCGATATTTAACCACCACTATTTGATAGAGCAGCATAACAGTGCTCAGTCACATGGTTGCTTTTGCTTTTATGAACATGAAAAAACTAGTTTCGGCTATTATTAAATTATATTGAACAAAGGGAGCGGTTTACATTGCGTTGCCAAGGCAACTACTGATGCGCTTTGTGTAATGTTTCAAAGACCTTCGTTGCAGCACGACAGTGGAAAATGAAACCGTGTACGAGCTGTTTGGCACGGAATGGAACGGTTCTGCTTAAAGAACGATTCAGCGCGATAGTGGAAAAGCGGCTTATGTATGTACTGTTTAATTTAGACCATACATGACTAGTTTAATGACTGTTTATTTTCTACCTTTCTGTATACATTACACAGCTAGGCAAACCATTACCACTTTACCATCTGTTTATCACCAGACAAGACCAGGGGTCCGTTCTTCGTACGTGGATTACTCAGTTAGCTGGATTTGGATATTGACGATTTGACATGATCCAGGATCGTTTCGTTCTTCAAAGCTGATCCGAGAGTTGTTGTCATAGCAACAGTTCTGCTAGCTCAAACCTGATCGGGAGCAGGTTCAATTCATATAAACAAGATTAGATCAGCTCAGTTCAAGCAAAGATAATACAGAAAGTATGTTCCCAATTCAGATATTTTCTTACAGTAGTAGTTATATACACTTAGGAAAAGAGTAAATATTTTTTAACTATATATATATATATATATATATATATATAAAGTTATAGTTATTAATAAAATAAATAAAGTTATAAATATTAATAAAATGTATGCAATCTGCACTCTCGAAATGAAAGTACAAAGACTGCCACCTGGTGGTGCACAGAGAAAACTTATTGATATGAACTTTTTTGATCGCTTAGTACAAATTGTGTATAATAGAAATGCAGAATATGTGACTTTTTTTTTAAAAGCAATAACACATTTATGCAGTCATGAACATGTTTTGACAGTTAATATGCCAGTGATTTGATGCTTCACAAAAGTTGCAGACACCTTTACCAATATGAAAATGCTTTTGTAAACAACCAGTTATTCTTTACACCGATTAAAAAACGGCTACTATAATAAAGAAAATATTATCTAAATGTAGAACTAAATACATTGATTTGCATTGAAATACATGATGAATACTCTTGACACATGAAAGAGTAAAGCCTGCAGCTCATAACAAATGTGGAAGGTTATTGCGTGTCATATTTAACAAGCCGTTTACTGCTAATTTGATGTAATTTTGCTCACATGGATAATTGAATATTAATCAGATGATGTCATTACGCTGCTGTGCCGTCAGCCAATCGTTGCATTGCTGATCATGATTTCGAGGATCGATAGATCTGTCCTTCACAACACACGCAGCGATCTCAGATCAGTTCATCTAGACATTCTAATCTGATTCGCGAACTTGTTTGAAGAACCAAATTAGCGAGAGATCAGTTATCAAGATGTAAAGATCCAGGATCTGCCAAATCATCTTAGATCATTTAAGCGAGGTACGAAGAATGGACCCCTGGATACGTGATTTAACAAGATATATGTTTGGGTGAGAGGTAAGGCTGAAATATAGATGGTCAGAAATAAAGTATGGGCGTTGATGTAACTGTGATTCATCCTGGATGTCAATAATTACCTTGTGGGTGTAACACACTCTGCTATTGGTCTCACACTCTGCAGAAATCTGTGTTGCTGTATGATTGTCTGATCTTCTTTGCAAAGAATAAAACTTTAAAAGACACTTTGGGTAAGACTTTGTCTTCTTTACCACTGAGAGAGCCTCCTTAAAGAAAATAGCCACTACAAAGGTATAGCGCGGTTTGGAAACCCAGCAGAAAAGATCTCTAAAATGCTGTTTTAAATTGTAAATAAATCTGTGTTTCTGAAACTAATGAAGACGGCAGAAGTCAATGATTCATTTGAATTATTCAGCCTGACATGTTTACTGCTCCAAAATATTTAAAATGTTTCTCAAAATAAAATATTTTGTGGTCAAAGGGGGAAGTTTTTATACCCATTTAAAAATAACATATATTAGAGCAGTAATCACAATACTGATAAACTGTGATATGTTGATCCAAGGTTATCATACTGTCAGAGTCTTATACCGACCGGTCTATACCTACCCTGGAGAGAAACCATTTACATGTTCTCAGTTTAGGACGATCAACACATCATCATACACACATGAAGAGTAGGGCAGGGCGATATTTTTTTATTTCCATATTGAACAATAAATCGATAATTTATTAAAAAACAGACCTTAAATGCGCCGATTTGGCATTGTCATAGAGTTCACTGGAAGCGGTTAACCCAGGTTACTAGCAAATTAAAAGTCCTATTAGCATGCTTATATAACCTATTAAACACTTCTCATGGGCATCTGATGTAAAGTTATAAAATAAGAGCCCTTTAAATCTTACACAAAACACTGTTTGGCCCTGATTCAAATAAAACTATTAGATATCACAAGCCAGTTTTACCTCAGATTAATAGTAGACATTCCCATGGTGTCAACTAAACACTTCCCATGGGTATATGTTTATTTCCTTATTTATGTTTCTTACCTTTGTCTGTTCTCTTGAGTGTTTCACACAAAACCGAGATAAAGGTGTTAAGAAGCAAATGTCACGCTATCCTGACTGAAATATAACATTAGCACTGACTCCGATAACATTACATGACAGCAAGTTCAAAATTAAGCAAATGCCAAGCTAAATTAAGTTTCTACACTCTAAAACTCTTAACGTAGTTTAAACATGTTTAAAGAAAATATACAGTCAACTCAAAACATTTCATAATAGGTGCACTCCCAAAACAAACCACTTACTATTTCTACAGGCAGCCAATCAGCTTTCTCAGAACCAGCTACAGGCAGCCAATCAGCTTTCGCTAATCAGCGTGCAGGCAAACTTCCCGCCCACAGCGCTTATTGTGAGGCGGAGATCGGAGAGAGCAGAACTTTGCTGTTTGAGGATTAATGTGTTTAATTCCTCTTCTGTTACGGGTGTTGTTCGTCTGTTCAGAGTAAGTGTATGATATCTGACTATAGTAGCGTTCGCAGACTTGCGGGAATTATCTTGCGGTTTGAACCGCTTTAACATATGTGCTCAATGCTAATATACTCTCTTGTTTTTAGCTCGATGCTACGCTGTAAACACTCTTGTAATGTCTTACTCACGGGTTATCTGGACACCTTTCATTTGTGTCTCCATCTAATTCATTCACTAAGAGGTAGTTTAATGCTGATTATATTGAATATTGACTGTTTAACTGAACATATGCTTGTGTAAACTCTTGAAGAGACGCAAACGCTTTATTTTGCAGTAAAACAGAATTTGGGATTAGTATAATAATATAAAACACTTAATTCATTAAAATATTGAGAGATAAATGTAAGCAATCAGAGACATGATCACGCTGCACACATGAGATGTAGAATCGACCACTCAAGACTTACACACACATTTATTGAACAGGGGAGAAACACCTATTTGTAGCTTGTGTGAGAATATTTTGATGATAAAACATATTTTAATAGGATGTATTTTTAAAATGATATTAGAGAGTGTTTTAATCCAAAAAATATATTGAGGAAAATGTTTAGAAATGTGTTTTCTGGAGGAATTTTACAATATTTATCATTGATCAGACTGAAAGACTTTATAAGACTTGTTGTATTTTGTATGTTTTTAATACAATTAATGATGTTTAAGAAACAGTTATGATTATATATATATATATATATATATATATATATATATATATATATATATATATATATATATATATATAATTATGTACTGAATATTAAATGCAAGTGTTTCTGTTATAAATACAGGAATATTCCCATCAGGCTCAAGTGAAGAGTTTACTGAAGGACAGCGAGAACATGAGTGATCCAGAACCCTGCAGAATTAAACCTGAAGATACTGAACAACAAATAGGTTGGTGTTTATTCCTGATTCTTCATTAATAAGCCTGAAGAACAATAATGATGAAAAGCTTTGAGCAGTTGACCTCCCAGGAATGTTCTCCACTGTTCAGTGTTTTTTGGCATTATCTATAAATGGTTTTCACTGTGGTTCGCTGCAGTCCCAAAGCTTTAGAAATGACTTTATAACCTTTATAACTCTTTCTCATTTGTGTTTAAATTTCTTTGGATCTCGGAATGTTTTCTAGCTTTTGAGGCTCTTTTGGTCTACTTCACCTTTTCAGGCAGGTTCAATTCAGAAGTGATTACTTGATTGCTAACAGGTGAGGCAGTAACGCCAAATAATCAATCAAGCTTTTTGCATTGTAACCAGGGGCGGACTGGGACAAAAAAAATCAGCCCTGGCACTGTAGCCACATCAGGCCACATTACCACACCGACACAGCCCCACCCACAGACACACACATTCACTATTTATATTGGTGTACAGATGGTGAAATAATATAAGTAGTACCATTATGCAATAGATATTTAAACATTTAATGTATGTGACTGAAACAAAAACGACCTGTTTATAACAAAACTCGCTGAACTTGGTGGCGTGTATGACGTTTGATTCGGGGGACGTTCTGGGGGCAGGGTTTGCGAGCTGCGGCGTGCTCTACTAGCCCGACAGTGGAAACACAACATGATTTCAGCCTCACTGCTCAAGCTCCCAGGCTATTGGCACTAGCCCAACAGTGGAAATGCGGCTCATGTTTTAGTGTGTTTTGACTTTTGACTTAAAAAACTGATCATTTTTTTTATTTCAGACCTAATTGAAGAAAATGTGGCCAGTAAAGAGGAGGAACATCATGTCAAAGTTGAGGAAAAAATTCATTTACAGACTTTGCAAACGAGAGGCAAGAACCATTTCACCTGCACTCAGTGTGGGAAGAGCTTCAGCCAATCATCAATCCTCATTAGACACATGAAGATCCACACTGAAGATAAACTATTTACATGCACCCAGTGTGGGAAGAGTTTCAGACAGATATCAAGCCTTGATACACACAAGAAAATCCACACTGGAGAGAAACCATTGACATGCACTCTGTGTGGGAAGAGTTTCACCTTCTCATCAAACTATAATGACCACATGATGATTCACACTGGAGTGAAACCATTCACCTGCACTCAGTGTGGGAAGAGTTTTACCTTCTCATCAAACTATAATCAACACATGAGGATTCACAGTGGAGAGAAACCATTCACATGTTCTCAGTGTGGGAAGAGTTTCAGCATCTCGTCATACCTTATTAAACACATGAGGATCCACACTGGAGAGAAACCATACACATGTTCTCAGTGTGGGCAGAGTTTCAGACAAACATCAACCCTTAAGGGACACATGGAGATCCACACCGGAGAGAAACCATTCACATGCACTGAGTGTGGGAAGAGTTTCAGAAAAATAGCAACCCTTAAGGGACACATGAGGATCCACACTGGAGAGAAACCCTTCAGATGCACTCAGTGTGGGAAGAGCTTCACCTTATCATCAAACTATAATCAGCACATGAGGATCCACACCGGAGAGAAACCATTCACATGTTCTCAGTGTGGGAAGAGTTTCAGCATGTTGTCATCCCTTAATCAACACATGAGGATCCACACTGGAGAGAAGCCATACACATGCACTCAGTGTGGGCAGAGTTTCCGACAAACATCAGTTCTTAATAGACACATGAAGGTCCACGCTGGAATGAAACCGTTCAGATGCACTCAGTGTGGGAAGAGATTCAGCAAATCTTCACATCTTAAACTACACATGAAGATCCACTCTGGAGTAGGCATGAAACAATAACGGTTTTCAAGGTGTGGTGGAAAATTCATTTTATTCATCTTATATTCATTTTATATACTCAGTTCTATACATAGCAAGGTCTGTTCTTCTTTTTATCTCCATGTACTGTTTATTTTCTACCTTTCTGTATACATTACACAGTTAGGCAATACGTGACCACTTTAACATCTGTTTATCACCAGACAAGTTCTGGATACGTGATGATTTAACAAGATATATGTTTGGGTGAGAGTTAAGGCTGAAATATGGATGGTCATAAATGAAGCATGAGCGTTGATGTAGCTGTGATTCATCCTGTATGTCAGTGGTTCCCAACAGGGGGGTCCAGGACTCCTAGGGGGACTCAGCGAGCTTAGTGGGGGGGTTGTGTGTCATATTTGAAACATTTCTTAGCAGTAGACAATTAAGAAAAGATCATGTAGCTTTAGTTCATTTTATCCCCTGGCTTAGTGGTCCTCAACCATCGGTCCGTGGTTCAATTGGTAGCGGGCCGCACAAGAAATCCTTAATTATTTACATTTTATTTATGATCTGAGTCTGAACGATCATTTATTTTGAAAAATGACCGTATTCTCTTGCTTGCATCTCAGTCACTTGAGCGCTCAAATTTAACCTACAAGTAGCAAAATGAGCAAGAAACAGACGTCTTTGGAAAGTGTCTTTGCTAAGGGGAAAAGGCTAAGTGAACAACCCACAAACTGCCAAGGTATGGATTCGCAACCCATTTGTCAACAAATCAGGTGACTCCTGCATGTCTGTGCAAGAAGATGAACTGATGGAGATTGCAAATGATGGCAGCCTTTAAGGAACCGTCTGCATATTGTGTATTTCTAGAGTTTGCACAAGTTTGTTGTTTTCAATGGGGGTGCATGGCTTGTGCGCACAAACAGCGTGACGCGATCGTGCCCGTGACTCATCGTGACTCACGGGACAAAAATTGACCGATCAGCTTCAGCTTGTATGGAATATTCACATTTCTGTAAGACTAATTTTCTCAGACAAACTTGGAACACACAAACACTGCAGTCCTTTGTAATTTTCTCCATAAATAAAACTTGGATCAGAGTGACAGCAATGATTTGGCAGCTTGTCATCCTCTGGGAAAATGGTTTATGGTCACCTAGCAACCTACGAAACATTGAAACACCCCCAACCCCCCGGTCCAGGGTAATATTGTCAATTGTGCGTGGTGATAAAAAGGTTGAGGACCACTGCCCTAGCATTGTATTTGTAATCCGTCCTTCACAAAAAAGACAGAGGCTGCGTCCGAAACCGCATACTTCCATTCTATATAGTACGCTAAAATCAGTATGCGAGCCGAGTAGCATGTCCGAATTCATAGAATTCGAAAATCAGCATGCGAGAAGTACCCGGATGACTTACTATTCAATTCAATTCAATTCAGCTTTATTTGTATAGCGCTTTTACAATGTAGATTGTGTCAAAGCAGCTTCACATAAATGGTCATAGTAACTGGAACAGTGTGGTTCAGTAACTGGAACAGTGTGGTTCAGGTTTTAGTGTTTAAGTTCAGTTCAGTTCAGTTTAGCTCAGTTCAGTGTGATTTAATCATTACTGAGAGTTCAAACACTGAAGAGCAAATTCATCGATGCGTAGCTCTACCAATCCTGAACCATGCGAGGCAGTGGCGACAGCGGAGAGGGAAAAAAAACTTCACCTGATGGGAGTGAAGAAAAAAAACCTTGAGGGAACCAGACTCAGTTGGGCACGACCATTTTAATTTCTCCGCTGGCCAAAAGTCTTGTGCAGAACTTCATTCGCCGTGGTTTAAGCTGGAAGATGGCCTCAATGAAGACTCGTCTGTCCCTGGAGCGTCGCTGGAATCAGACACATGTTCTCCACTCCCCACGACCATCAGCGCAGCAGCAGCTCAGGATATGGCCTGGTCCCAGATATGGAATCCTTGGGATCATCACGTCGCTGGTCTTGGATCCAATCAGTGACTCCGCCTAATCTGAGGACCTCGGGATGAGTATCCCCAGGTGAAAATAGAGAATAAAGAGAATAATTAGCGTAGCTGCTGTTCATAGTGTATATAAGCAAGATGCAGAAGCCAGTGTGGAACCCGCTAGGTGATGCATTGAGTGTATGCTTTACTAAACAGATAGGTCTTTAATCTAGTTTTGAACTGGAAGAGTGTGTCTGAGCCTCGGACATTACCAGGAAGGCTATTCCAGAGTGTAGGAGCCATGAAAGAGAAGGCTCGACCTCCTTTACTTGATTTTGCTATTCTAGGTACTACCAGAAGCCCTGAATTTTGAGATCTTAAGGAGCGAGTTGGTTCGTAGCGAGACAGAAGGTTGGTTAGATAAACAGGAGCTAGATTATTTAGAGCTTTATAGGTGAGAAGTACTATTTTAAATTCAATACGAAATTTAACAGGCAGCCAGTGTAAGGAGGATAAAATTGGGGTTATATGATCATATTTTCTAGACCTGGTCAGAACTCTGGCTGCTGCATTTTGTACTAATTGCAGTTTGTTAATAGAGGATGCTGGGCAGCCAGCAAATAGAGCATTACAGTAATCCAGTCTCGAAGTCATAAAAGCATGGACTAGCTTTTCTGCATCTGAGATGGATAGCATATTTCGTAATTTAGCGATATTTCTCAGATGAAAGAAGGCAGTTTTTGTGACATGGGATATATGGTTTTTAAAAGTTAGATTGCTGTCTAATATGACACCCAAATCTTTTATAGTAGAGCTAAAGCTAACTTTGTATCCCTCTAATTGTAAATTGAGTTGCGAGATCTGCTGTGTGCAAGATTTAGGCCCAATAAGTAATAATTCTGTTTTGTCTGAGTTTAAGAGAAGAAAATTGTTGGTCATCCAGTCTTTGATGTCTTTGATACACTCAGTTAGTTTAGAAAGTTCAGACGTCTCGTCAGGTTTAGTGGAAATATATAATTGAGTATCATCTGCATAGCAGTGAAAGCTGATCCCATGTCTTCTAATAATGTCTCCCAGAGGTAGCATGTAAATTGTAAACAGTAAAGGGCCTAAAACTGATCCTTGAGGCACCCCATACTTTACTGGGCAGATTTGTGAAGGCTGTCCATTAAGATTCACAAACTGGTAGCGGTCAGTTAAGTATGACTTAAACCATTGTAGAGCCTGTCCTTGGACACCTGTAGACTTTAAGCGATTTATGAGGATATTGTGGTCAATGGTATCAAATGCCGCACTAAGATCGAGTAAAACTAATAGCGAGACGCACCCTCGGTCAGCAGCTAAGAGTAAATCGTTGGTTATTTTCACTAAGGCGGTTTCTGTACTGTGGTGAGCCCTGAAACCTGACTGAAACACTTCAAAAATATTGTTCGTCTGCAGATAAGAGCATAATTGAGTGGAAACAACTTTTTCTAGTATTTTAGACATAAATGGAAGATTAGAAATGTCCTTACTACTTCCGGGGAGATTCTGGAGTGCGCATCCCATGCATGCTGCGCTATCCCATGATGCCCCGAGAGAGAATTCATGAATGGGAGTTAAGCGACGCAACTAACGCAGGCAGTTCACGTAACTATGACTAAATGGCAGATGTAGTACGTCTTTTCACATTCATACTGTATAGAACATAATTTTTTTAATGGCCAAGTTGTACGTTTACGTTCAAATCCTGTACCTACTGAGTAGTAGGCGGTTTTGGACGCGGCCAGAGTCTCACTGATCCGCCTCACAGCAATCCTCACACTAATTGAAAGAGCATAAAGCAGGTCGCACACCAGAAGCGCCGCTTGGCGCCGCGACACGGCGCACATGACAGTTTAAAGTATCGCACACCAGACGCGCACATTCGAATGATATTTAACATGAAACTAATCAGATGGCGCTCTGTGGCGCGGCTGAAAAATGAACTGCGTCCTGACCCGTCGCCGAGCGCCGCCAACTTGCGGCACCGGTGTGTGTATCCTGATGGAAACCTATGTTTAGAATTCTAAGATACATGGCGCTGCGCGGCGCGCAGCCAAGCGGCGCTTCTGGTGTGTGACCTGCTTAACAAACAACATGCATGAATTAAATTGTAATATTCTATATTATGTTTTTCCCCCTTATACTCCTGAGACCCGGCCCATTGACTTGTGTCCTCAGTAGTGGACAGTGTTTTCATGAATTTTCTTTGAGTTTTTTAAGCTACTCTATCAAGTCCTGTTGTACTGTTCAGAGGACATCCTGGGCTTTCTAGTGATGTGTCATTTGATTGGCTGGCATGCTAGGAACCACTTCTTACACTGCATCTAATATGGCTGACACACAAACGAGCACATTTTATGGGAAGGAGAGAGGCATGTCAAATGTAGATTTTTAAAAGTTTTTTACTACTATTATTACTATTATTATTATTGTTACATACTATTATTATTGTTACATATATATTTGTTTATTAAAGGGTCAGGAACAATACATTTATCTTTCAAAGCTGTAAACTGTTTGTGTTTCAAAATATCATCCTTTTTTTAATGTCCACCAGGACCATCTTAATGTAATTACTAGCCCCTATCACATGGTGATACCGTAAATTTTCCGAAACGACTTTACTGATAAATTAAAAAGCGCTGTTCACACAGATGACTGTTACAGATTTTTTTCCGAAAAAGAACGTTTACACATCCATTTTAAAATATCGGTAAATTCTGACATCATTACCCAGAAATGACCTCTAAACGGCTTTTACTTGTAAACAATTGACTACATTACAAACTCTGTGGATGGATAAATAATGTGAACAACTTCGATAAAAACGTATGGAGGAACACTTTCGCATGTTAAGATTTACATGATATGTGTGTGTGCTGTCGCTCACCGGCTCCTTGACAGGCACACACGATGCGTCAAGCAACTGAAGAAAGCAGAGCTTTAAAGTAAACAAACAACAGCCTATAATAAGCATCTCATCTATAATTATTTACTCAGTTGGCATTAAGAAGGAGCATATAAACGTTATCTGACTAACATCCAGCAGCTACTGTAAATGTGTCTTGAAAAATATTCAAAGGCTTTTATTTTCATAAACTGCGCGGACGTGAATGCGTCTGACTGTTCTGATTGGCTAAAGCAGAAGTCTTACGTCAGCACGTTCTAGACGTGAACCAGCTCTTTCCGGCAATCTTGCTTCCGCGTTCAGTGCAGCATTCCAGCAAATTACCTGTAAAGTTACAACTTCTCTTTCTGGAAAATAGCCAGAACAAATTTACCGGTATTTTCAAAAAGGGCCTGTTCACGCATACACACCTACTGGAAAATTGCTGGTAATTTTCCGGAAAGGTTTGTATGTGTGAAAGGGGCTACTGACTGCATGTTGTAGGAGACAGAACTGAAGCAGAGAGGATTCTTTATTAGAGAGTTGATGGAGACTCTGACTTAGAGTGTAACAAACAGACAATTGGAGACAATTAGAGAATGACAATCAGTTTTAAATCTCTTTTAAGTTAAATTTGTTTTGGATTAACATCACTTTCTCGTTTGTTTGTTTTTGTTTTTTTTTTTTATTTGGCTCTCAGACGAATCTGTTTCAGGAATTTCAATACAAAAGGAAAAGATTACAATAATGGATCATATCCCTGTACAGTCATATCCTGTACAGTTTTATTGTCTGAGTGCCGGTCGTTTTGAACTAAAATGGTCTTGCGGTCCACTACAGTGGACATGCTGTAAGATTTCAAATAAAAACAAAATGTAAAAACTCTAAATTGTAGAATTTTTTTTTAACCCAAAGGATGTAGAAAATCACAGAAAATATTTACTGTAGGTCTGAGGAGGATATACACGAGTGTGAATACTGATATTTTTGTCATTGAATTTCAAATAGGGTCAATTTAAAGGCCAAAGGCTTATGTTTTTTTCAGTTACAAGTGACCTGCTGATGGTTTGCTTTATATTTTACAGTAGGCTATTGTTTGTGCATAAACATGTCTAGATATTGTAATAAACACACTGTTTGTTTGAAAACAACATTTTTTTCATCCCTACTGCAAACTTATATGAGTGATAATGGTATTAAATGTGGAGGGGGTCTTACAGTAATTTCCATGAAAAAAGGGTCTCTGGTAAAGAAAGGATGGGAACCACTGCTGTATGTCACTAATATCCTTGTGGGTGTTCTGCTATTGGTCTCACACTCTGCAGAAATCTGTGTTGCTGTATGATTGTCTGACCTTTTTTGCAAAGAATAAAACTTTAAAAGACACTTTGGGTAAGACTTTGTCTTCTTTACCACTGAGAGAGCCTCCTTAAAGAAAATAGCCACTACAAAGGTATACCGTGGTTTGGAAAAGTCAAGGTTTTAAAGCTGACCAAATTTTCTGCTTTACCGTTCCTATTGTGTATGTCAGGGTTTTTTTCTTTGTTTTTTTAGGACAACAGTATCTCCAGCAGAAAAGATCTCCTAAATTGTCTTTTTAAACTGTGAATAAATCTGTTTCTGAAACTAATGAAGACAGCAGAAGTCAAAGATTCATTTGAATTATTCAGTCTGACATGTTTACTGCTCCACAATATTTTAAATGTTTCTCAAAATAAAATATTTATTTTTAAAGGGGGAAAAAGTTTGAGTATTTTACTCAGACATTTAAAAAGAGTGAATATTAGAGCAGTAATCACAATACCGTCAAAACATCAAACAGTGATTTTTTTATCCAAGGTTATCATACTGTCAGAATCATATACCGGCCCATGCCTGCACTGGAGAAAGACCATATATAACTATTAGATATCACAGGCCAGTTTTACCTCAGATTGATAGTGGACATTAACATGCACTTCTCATGGGTATATGTTTCTTATTTATGTTTCTTTCCTTCTTTATCAGTTCATATTTTCAGAATGTATCACTCAAAAACAAGATAAAAGTATTAAGAGGCAAATGTCACGCTATCCTGACTGAAATATAACGTTAGCTTTGACTCTGTTACATGAAAGCAAGTTAAAAATTAAGCTAAAGATTAAATTAATGCTAAGCTAAATTAAGTTTCTACATTCTAAAACGCTTAACGTAGTTTAAGCCATTTTTAAGAAAATTTAAAGTCAACCCGAAACACTTCATAATAGGTGCACTCCCAAAACAAACCACTTACTATTTCTCCTGACTGAAAACCCGCTTTCTTCTAAACCTACAGGCAGCCAATCGGCTTTCGCTGATCAGCGTGCAGGCAAATATCCCGCCCACAGCGCTTATTCTGAGGCGGAGATCGGAGAGAGCAGAACTTTGCTGTTTGAGGTTTAATTGGTTTATTTCCTCTTCTGTTACAGGTGTTGTTCGTCTGTTCAGAGTAAGTGTCAGACTTGCGGGAATTATCTTGCGGTGTGAACCGCTTTAACATATGTGCTCAATGCTAATATACTCTCTTGTTTTTAGCTCGATGCTACGCTGTAAACACTCTTGTAATGTCTTACTCACGGGTTATCTGGACACCTTTCATTTGTGTCTCCATCTAATTCATTCACTAAGAGGTAGTTTAATGCTGATTATATTGAATATTGACTGTTTAACTGAACATATGCTTGTGTAAACTCTTGAAGAGACGCAAACGCTTTATTTTGCAGTAAAGCAGAATTTGGGATTAGTATAATAATATAAAACACTTAATTCATTAAAATATTGAGAGATAAATGTAAGCAATCAGAGACATGATCACGCTGCACACATGACATGTAGAATCGGCCACTCAAGACTTACACACACATTTATTGAACAGGGGAGAAACACCTATTTGTAGCTTGTGTGAGAATATTTTGATGGTAAAACATATTTTAATAGGATGTATTTTATAAATGATATTAGAGAGTGTTTTAATTCAGAAAATATTTTGAGGAAAATGTTTAGAAAATGTGTTTTCTGGAGTAATTTTACAGTATCATTGTAAATACTTCATAAAACTTTTTATCAGTGTTGTTGTTTGTATGTTTTAATACAATTATTGATGTTTAAGAAACAGTTATGGTTGTAAATTATATACTGAATATTTAATGCAAGTGTTTCCATTATAAACACTGGAATATTCCCATCAGGCTCAAGTGAAGAGTTTACTGAAGGACAGCGAGAACATGAGTGATCCAGAACCCTGCAGAATTAAACCTGAAGATACTGAACAACAAATAGGTTGGTGTTTACTCCTGATTCTTCATTAATAAGCCTGAAAAACAATAATGATGAGAAGCTTTGAACAGTTGATCTGATTCATTAAACAAGCACAAAAACAAACGATTTTATATGAAGAAAGAGAAAAGTGAAATACACTTTCTGTTCTCAAGGTAATAAATGTGGAGTGCAGCTCAGTTGTCTTTTATTCCCATGTTTTGATCAAATGCTCAGTAAAAGGAGATTTGTTAAACATTTAACCCTCTGCCTGGGGTCTAAAGAGAAATGTTGGCATTCCCTAACATTTGTGCTGTTTTCACTCACAGGTCTGAGTAATCAGGTCTGGGTGTGGCTACAGAAATTGAACTTGGGTGTGATAAACCAGTTATGTATTAACGGGGAAAACTTTTCATATAAAAGGTAGAAACTAAGCTTTTTTTGCACTGTAACTGATGATCAACAGAATTAAAATCAAAATTACAGCTTGTATAGCCAATGATTTTAGCGCCTTTTGACTTCAGCTTTTGATGAGAGTTTAAAAGACTTAATAAAAACCTGATTTTTTATTTTTTTTTTCAGACCTAATTGAAAAGAATGTGGTGAGTAAAGAGGAGGAACATCATGTCAAAATTGAGGAAAAAAATCATATACAGACTTGCAGTATTTTGAAACCAAGAGACAGGACTCATTTCACCTTCACTCAGTGTAGAAAGAGTTGTGGAGGAAAAGACGATCTTAAGATTCACATGAAGATCCACACTGGAGAGAAACCATTCACCTGCACTCAGTGTGGGAAAAGCTTCAGCTATTCATCATCCCTTAATGAACACATGGTGATCCACACTGGAGAGAAACCATTCACATGCACTCAGTGTGGGAAGAGTTTCAGCCGATCATCCAACCTTAGTCAACACATGATGATCCACGTTGGAGAGAAACCATTCATCTGCACTCAGTGTGGGAAGAGTTTCTGCCGACTATCCAACCTTAATCAACACATGACGACCCACACTGGAGAGAAACCATTTACATGTTCTCAGTGTGGGAAGAGTTTCAGCCAATCATCAAACCTTAATCAACACTTGACGATCCACACCGGAGAGAAACCATACACATGCACTCAGTGTGGGAAGAGCTTCAGCCAATCATCAAGCCTTAATAAACACATGATGATTCACACTGGAGAGAAACCATTCACATGTTCTCAGTGTGGGAAGAGTTTCAACCAATCAACAAACCTTAATCACCACATGATGATCCACACTGGAGAGACACCATTCACCTGCACTCAGTGTGGGAAGAGTTTCAGCCAGTCATCATCCCTTAATCTACACATGAGGATTCACGCTGAAGAGAAACCATTCAGATGCACTCATTCTAGAGTCTTTGGTACTGCTAAACACTATAGCCGCGTTTCCACTGTCGCATCCAAATCAAGCTAGGGCCAGTCGCGTTTCCATAGTAATTCCCGGGGCCTAATCGAGCCAAAGAGAGGCTTTCTTGGGGCCAGCAGCTAGCCGTTTCCGGCTGAACATCTTGGGATAAAGTGAGCGAGCTGGGGAATCAGGATGTAGTGAAAGGTGAGCGCTAAAAATGGAACTGAACGCAAATACTGTCGCTGCTAACGCATATTGTCATAATAGATCAGCGTCTCACTCACTGATGAAAAAATATTAATAACGAAAAAACAACAAATGGATGCAAATAAACAACCAGAAATTCGAGACCGCTTTATCCATGATAACAAAATAAAAGCCATTAAACTCTTATGAACAAAACTGCTGTCACTGAATTCAGAAGGCATAAAAAATAAAACAAGTTAATTTCACGAGCAGATTTCTCTTTGATTGAATATACAGTTTTTATATATTAAATACAGGCTTTTAAGTAACTGAAGTAAAGTAAAAGTTCATCTTCTGTGATTGTGACCCTCTTTTTGTAAAAATAGTGATATTTCAATTGCATCCGCTCCCACAATAAGCAAGATTCTGGTAGTGTCCAAGTCTGACTTCTGATGTGTTTAACATCATGGTTCGGTGCGCTTTAATGGCCATTTCCACTGTCAAAAGGCGTACCGAACCATATCGTAACACTTTTTCGGCACCCTTTCGAAAGGGTACCAAACACGAGAAAGCATACCAAAAGGTGGAGCTACACGCGCAGCTGAACGCTGATTGGTTACAGAGATGCATCGCAAGCTAGTCTGGAGCTAGCCAGATGAAAACAAAGGAGCCGCCATGTTGTTATACACAGCCAAGACATTACACTGTAAAACTGACAAACAAACCTCGTCTTAGTCTTGATGTACAGACACAAAGCCAAGAAGAACAAAATCTGCCATGTCCTGTTGTTCTTTTACGAGGCCGTCTAAAAGTGCGCGAACTACTTGAGCTGAAGATAATAACGGGTGCGTGATTATTAAAGTGTCTCTATCATCTGATCCATTCAGAAAGAAAAGGACAAACGCGAGAGTGAAGCGCGAACAAAGGAGAAGCCCGACAACACACAGGAGCAAATCGTTTCAGCAACCTGAATCACGAACAAACTGCCATGTTTATCTTCGCCTTTTGGACTATTATAAACTAGGGCTCGAAATTAAGCTTTCTGCTTGGAAGCACCGGTGCTCCTAACTTAAAAAATGTAGGCGCATCAGCCAAAATTTAGTCGCATTTATAAGCACCGTTACTACTACGTTTTATACAAACATATTTATTGCATTAGAAATCAACACTAGTCAAACTAACAAGCAAAAAAAAAAAAAATATATATATATATGTATATATATGTATATATATATATATATATATATATATATATATATATATATATATATATATATATGCATGGAAAATATGTCTCAAAGAAATCCCGTTATCAATAGAAAATAGATTTTTGTAACATAACTAAGTGACCAAAAGATACACGGACCGCTCACCGGCCCTGCACACACTGCTTGACATGAATCCGTTAACGATATAACTGTGCTGTTCTCACGGGTGCTGTCTGATATTGCACTGATGCTTTTGACATATAATGTGCCTTATTTTATGCATACGTCATATTAGCAGCAATACATTTCAAGAGTAGCGATATTAGTTTACTCGTTGTAAGCCCGTTTGCGATGGTGTACGTGGTGTTCAATTTGACATAGCTGCCACTTGCACATCGGACAGCATCTGGCGATTATATGAAGGATTAAACAGAAGCTCTCGTGCTAGATGTGGCAAACAGTTACCTGAAAATTCCATCCCACAGACTTTTCATAGCGGACTTGAAGCCAATGGAGATCTTTTATCCACTCTTGGAAAAGTGTAGATGGTTCAATTCAATTAAATTCAGCTTTATTTGTATAGCGCTTTTACAATGTAGATTGTCAAAGCAGCTTCACATAAATGGTCATAGTAACTGGAACAGTGTGGTTCAGGTTTTAGTGTTTTTAGTGTTTAGATGGTGGAGTAACATTCACCACATGGTCACTACTAAGATGTGTCATTATTTGTAACTTTAGGTGGTTTCTAAAACAAAATCTGTCAGTGTTATCTGCATTCTCATCTTCAGCGCTTTACAGTTTTTCTTGGTAGTAGCTCTCTCTGTCATCCCGAGCCAGAAGGCATTGACAGTGATTGACAGCTGATATTTCAGTGCTAAAGCAGTGGTGGGCCAATAAGAAGAGTGCAAAGGCGGGGCAAGCATTACGGACTTGGCTTTGTTTACTGCAGCAAGTTGACATGACAACTGTTTTAAACCATTCCTGAGCGCTGCGTTTCGCGTTTCAAGTGCAGAGATGCATTCTGCGTGATTGTCTCCTGAATCATGTGGTGAACATTTTGCAGTAAAAACCTGTCGCACACAACAATTTTACTCACAAATGCTCCCAAATATATTTTGAGGTCGCATAGGTAAAATTTCGGGCACATATGCGACCAAAATGGTCGCAATTTTGAGCCCTGTAAACTGGGAATGACAGAATGACTCTCTAACAGAGCTTACATGTGCTGCTGAAGATTGCAGACACAGATGAGAGGTCTGCACTGACTGTGGGCTATATTTTGTGTTGTTTTGAACCTAAATAAGCACTAAATGTCTGCTGTGTGTAGTTTTTCTGTAATTGGTAACATCGGAAACTGTAAGGGTCTGTATGTGTTCATATATGTTCATTTATTTATTTCATATATGATCATTGATTCACACTGATCGCACGTCATTGATCTGCAGTTATAATCAAATGTTCATGGGAAAGTTAGTAATAAACATTTATACACAAGTGTTTATGTGTAAAGCCTCTGTTTTGTGAGAAGTGCTTCTCATATATGTAAACAACCCGTACAGCTTTACTGTAGACATTTATTCGAGGGAGAAATACGTTGACTGAAATTTTCTGTACACCACGCCCACCAAAAGGGTACCTATCCGCTTGTTAAGTGTGACGTCACATGGAGCGGCTTCCGGGTCCAAGCGCTCTATTCAACTGAATGGCGAGATTTATGAAATGGTAATAATAAACGTTTACAAAGCGATTTAATACTTTCGAAAGTCACGATCGCAATATATATGTCCATGCCTAATATCTGATGCCCAGAAAGTGATTCATTGTTTTATTAATTGTTTAAATTTTGGTATTTGTTATGCAGCAAGCCCAGAGATTGTTGTGTACACTATGACTTTATGTAAAATTAACTTTAATGTGTGATAGGAATAAATCATGAACGAATGATTTTTCCACTCAAATGAATGGCGGCTTGGACCCAAAAACAGTATTACATACGTCACCAACACGTCACCACTTAACAAGCGGATGGTAGTGGAAATGCAAGCCTGATAAAGGTGAGCCGTACCGTACTGAGCTGTACCAGTCAGTGGAAACGGGCCGTAACTGCAGCCGCCTGCTCTCGTCTACGATGCAGTTAAGGTGAGGCAGACCTCAAAGGAGCCCATTACCACCGTGTCAATAAACACTTCTCATGTTTCTTTTTTCCCCTATTTATGTTTCTTACCTTTATCAGTTCATGTTTTCTGTGTACCACACAAAACCAAGATAAAGATATTAAGATGCACATTTCACGCTATCCTGACTGAAATATAACGTTAGCCCTGACTCAGTTACATGAAGGCAAGTTCAAAATTAAGCTAATGCTAAGCTAAATTAAGTTTCTACATTCTAAAACAAAATTTTTTTTTAAGAAAATATAAAGTCGACCCAAAACACTTCATAATAGGTGCACCACCAAAACAAACCACTTACTATTTCTCCTGACTAAATACTCTCAATGATTCTGGATCTACAGGCAGCCAATCAGCTTTCTCAGAGTCAGCTACAGGCAGCCAATCAGCTTTTGTTGATCGACGTTCAGGCAAACATCCCGCCTACGGCGCTGATTCTGAGGCTAGTATGGGTAACTGCAGTCTGGAGAAATGGGCGTGGCAAATGGTTTTTCATTGGTAAGTTTTTTTTCCGGTAGGGGCGTGGCAAAAGGTTTTAATTGGTCAAAGGTTTTATTTCTGGTCAAATGCGTTGACCAATTAGATGAATAATAAATAAGATGCTCGTTTAGCTTAAGGGTGGATCATTCTACTTTATGCTACTGGTGTTTAAAATAAAAAATTAAACGTTAAATTAAACGTAATCACAAGTTTCATTAAAATAATGGATAAATCAGCATTCGAATGGATACAAATGCTTGAATATCATTGGACAAATGAATTGTTTTTGTTCTTTTTAGTGGTTATTTATAAATGCACTACTTAGTAAAGGGATGTATTCAGTACTATTTTAAACTGTGACTTAGTTGTTTCTCAGTGTCACTGAAATTATTGCCTAAAATAACTTAAATTTAGATTTTGACTTTTTTTTTGTCTGGTAAATATATGTTGTTCAAATGTCACAGATTTATAATAAAGTTAACTCATTAGTAACCTAATGTTAAGTGATATTAATCAATTTAGAACACAGACACAAGTTCAATAAACATTTCGGTTTAATTATCAAAATACAAATAAAACAATCTCTTAATAAAAAACATGCCATCCACTGACTACAAATCCATACATCCATCAGTTCACCACAAATCCATCCATTAAGTACAAATCCATCCATTCATCGTTTAGTAGCAGTGCATAGGGCAGAAGTCGTCAGACTCTTGTCTGAATAGAATGCTTTGTACATCCCTTTCCTCCCATCGCCACAGTATCCAGTGTTTTTGTAGAGCCAACCACAGGATTCACATCTGGAGAGCTTGAACTCCACTATATATTTGACCAAGATGAAGGATTCCATGAGGCCTCCTTCATCATAAACATGTAAAAGAACCTTTCTGAACAGGTCTGATGGTAGCTGAATTAAAGACGTTTCTGTGTGGAGTTTGCATGTTCTTCATGCCTTCGCGTGGGTTTCCTCCGGGTGCTCCGGTTTCCCCCACAGTCCAAAGACATGCGGTACAGGTGAATTGGGTAGGGTAAATTTTGTCAACTTTAATTTTGTCCGAATTAGCCGATAAACTGACAAAACGTAAAATACTTTTGTTTCCTCGTGAGATCAGGCTGAGGACACCGACCCTCCCGGACCGAGTTTGGACACGCCTGATCTATATTAATGAATTATCCTCAACTTAAAGAACAAAACATTCTCTAATATCTTTTAAATGTGTAATGACAGGGTTTAACACATTTGGGTGCTGTGAATACTGAAAGAGTTGAGCTCTTTCAGACGAAAATAATGATTTTAAATAATAAATAATGAACTATTGCCTACATACAATCCTGATATCAAGTTACATGTACTCAAAAACCAGAGGACTTAAATTTTTTTTTGCTCAAAGTGCATAGAGGATAGATCGACAGATATTTCAAGTGATTAATGAACGACTTAAACCTGATAGAATATAAAATAATTATTTCCCCTATCTGCACATGCAGCAATGAAAGAATCACTCGGAAAGGACTCGTTATTGCAGAGTCACATTAAAGATTTGTTCCAGAACAACCCATCAATACTGCAAGTTTGCATATCTGTTAAGGTTACTCTCAGACGTGACACTCTTGTGTGTTTTTCAATGTTTCTGACTGACTGAATCTCACTTGTTTCTGTCCAGTGTGAGTCCTCTCATGTGTTTTCAGGCTTCTTAACTTACTGAATTTCTTGTCGCAGTGTGAACAGCTGTACGGTCTCTCTTCAGTGTGAATCCTCTCATGTGATTTCAGGCTTCTTAACTTACTGAATTTCTTGTCGCAGTGTGAACAGCTGTACGGTTTCTCTCCAGTGTGAGTCCTCTCATGTGATTTCTGGCTTACTAACTGACTGAATCTCTTGTCGCAGTGTGAACACGGATAAGGTTTTTCTCCAGTGTGAATCCTCTCATGTGTTATCAGGTTTCTTAACTGACTGAATCTTTTGTCGCAGTGTGAACAGGTATAAGGTTTCTCTCCAGTGTGAATCCTCTCATGTATTTTCATATTTGATAACCGACCGAATCTTTTGTCGCAGTGTGAACACTTGTATGGTTTCTCTCCGGTGTGAGTCCTCTCATGTGTTTTCTGGCATCCTAACCAACTGAATCTCATGTCGCAGTGTGAACACTTGTATCGTTTTTCTCCACTGTGAATCATCTGGTGTTGTTGTAAGTTTGCAGCTGTAACAAAGGTCTTCTCACACTCAGAGCACACATACTCTCTCACACTGTTGTGGATCTTCTGATGTCTTCTTAAATTTACTTGATGTGCAAAACTCTTTCCACACACAGTGCATGAATATGGCTTCTCAGTTGCATGAACTCTAAGGTGATCATTCAGGCCTGAAGACAACCTAAATGATTTTCCGCACTGATCACATGTGTGTGCTTTCTTTCCAGTGTGGATCAACATGTGTCTTCTAAGGGCTGATGAGTCTTTGAAACTCATCCCACACTGAGAACATGTGAATGGTCTCTCTCCAGTGTGGATCCGCATGTGGATCTTGAGACTGTCTTTGTCTGCCAGACTCTTCCCACACTGAGTGCAGGTGACACGTTTTCTGTTTTTTCTCTTCAGTGATTTTGTTTTTGCTCTCATTTTAACATGGTGTGTCTCCTCCATCAGGCCTGAAATAAATATGAAAAGACAGCATTTTATTTAAGTGATATAAACAAATGATAGCAGACAACAACTATAAACGATAACGATCATTTCAGTCTTCAGCAAGGTACACCGATCTTCCAGTCACCTTCTTTATATAAATATTTAATATTTGCCCAAACTATTTTCCTTCATTCATTCACTTTCAACAACTGCTGTAACACATTGAGCCACTAAACACTGTTCTTATGATGTTTTTCTACAGGAGGAAAATGTGAATTACTTCCAAACACTTCAACTATAGTCTGTGTTAGTAAATGCAAGACTATTGATGAAATCCAGGCAGAACACTGTAGGACAACATTTAACTGTTCTAGAGTCTACAGCTAATCAATCTGTCAGATTCAGGAGTGCATCACAGCTCTAAGAGGAAAGCGGAGAAGGCAGAGAAATCTGTGCAACCCTACTCATCCAAACATGTTGGAGTCTTTAAAGAGGAGGAATGGAGCGAACGCAGGGTAAACCGCTACAGAATCCTACTTTGGTTCCGTTTTGAAGTGAGGAGCGTAATGTCCCTGGTGCTGGTGTTTGCTTGTTATCCAGCTCGACAAGCATGACGTGAAAAATTCAAACAGAGCTTTGGCATGTCGGCAGGCACCGAGGCAGAGAAAGACGTGTCATATCATCACAATTATGCTGTTTTTAACCACCCAATGCTTATTTTATGTTTTAGACATGTAAATACACACTTGTACTAGTAAAACAAGACATTTAGAGCAGGGCCGGATTGGCTAATTGGGAGGACCGGGAGAATTCCCGCCGTTCCGTATTTTGGCTGCAGGGGCCGCTGTCCCTAGCTGCTTGCACTCTCAGCAGGCACACTTTTTTCATTTATTTACTTATTTGACCGTAACCTCACTGTTTTTATTCATTATTTTGCCGCTGCTCCGCTCCTTTTATTTATTTTCTCGCAGCCCTATGTCCAAAATGCAGCCTGCAGGTTAATGATGACGTAAATATCATTTGACCCCAAACAGCAGCACCTTAAGCCTAGTTCACACTACAGGATTTTAAACATCAGCAGATCGCTGTGCCGTTCACACTACATGACTTGACTTTGTGTCTTTTAATCTCTGTGGTGTTCACACTACGCGACACTCCGTGAACGATCTACAAGAGGGGGGTCACACACTACATGATCTGACAACATCTCATTCCCCATCAGCTCATTCAAGCTACCAAACCACAGCCAATGAAATTTTGAGGGAGGAGTCGTCTGAAAAAGCTGAACACTATTGGCTGCTTGTGTGCTGATGACATCACTGACAGCGTTTCAAGCTTTGGAGAAAGCATTTAAAAACATCGTCACATCAGCTGATTTATGAGCGGATTAATCACTCATCTGCAGGTTCCAGTGGATAGATACACAGAGAGTTTTTAATTTTTGTAATTTTATAACTCTTTGAAATAAAACTAACATATTTATAATACCCTGCCGCTTTCTAACTATCAGTGTATTTCTTTCTGACATTGTTATTTTTTTTATTACAAAACAGTAAAGAACTGAGCATTTCTGCCTTAAATTACCATATTGGTCAAAATGACTGCATGCATGTCTGATACTTTTCGCTGTGACTTTAAATATGTGTGCATTTTCTTGCCTAGCAACTTCCTGCTAACATAAACAAAACTTTCTGATGGCAAAAACATCAATTTATTTTAGATATCTTTCAAAACAGCATATTCTGTGCTGTTAAATAGCTCCTGTTTGAAAGTGAAAATGAAAGCCAAGACCTTTAAGTGTTTTAGTATCTCAACTACATATTTATAGGCTGTATTACCAAAAAAAATGATATTTTTAGGGTAATGGTGTCATTAAATGTGATGCCAGACATTCAAAGCTTAATTTTAATATCTCAATAATAGCTTTGAATGTAAATATGTTGTGACAGTATGGTGTTTTATATGAGAACGGTCAGAATGAGCAGTATGGTAATTCTAACAGTTACAGAATTCTAGTTCCACTGTTAATATAGCCTACTCTCATGTCTGTGCTAACGCAGAATGAAGCGAGTGCACCGATGCCCATTCTGACCAATCACAGATGTTTCTGCTGAGCTCCTGAACACACAGGCATTCAGCTCATGCTGATCTGCTCTCTCATTGGCTGCAGCTCGTCACTACATCTGACCACACGTGGGGTTGAGTCGGCCGACTGCTCTGGAATATTTAGCATGCTGAATGTTGGATTTCCGTCTGCGAGGTGTCGGCGACGCGTCAGCGAGCCTCGTTGATGCGTTGCTCAGTAGTTCACACATAAAGAGCGGTGAGCGCCGAGCACCGGCAGATTTCTTCCCGATCACAGCCCGATCTGTCGGCGAGCTCGTTAACTTCCAAATCGGGCTCAAATCAGGCTTAAAATCCTCTAGTGTGAACTAGGCATTAGTGAATATAGGAATTCGAATAATTAATATTAATGAATGTTACACCTGCTCAATGAAAATCAGATGATTCACTTCATTAATAAAGCTGACATAACTTGATCAGAAATCTAAAAAGGGAGAAAAAGATTAAGTAATCAATAGAAAGTAATACTGTGGTTCAGAGTCTTGCAGATTTATTAAAACGCACCAGCATAACAGTGCAATTGTGGTCCAGTGGTCAGCACATTGCATTATGACGCTGCAAACTATTATACAAACTATTGCAATATATCACAATATTTATTGTATCGCGATATATCGTATCGTGACTCATGTATCGTATCATGAGGCCCTTGCCAATACACAGCCCTATTGATTAGGTAAGCTTAAATTGTCTGTAGAGTATGCGTGTGAATGAGAGTGTATGGGTGTTTCCCAGTAAAGGGTTGCTGCTGGAAGGGCATCTGCTGCGTAAAACATGCTGGACGAGTTGGCGGTTCATTCTGCTGTGGCGACCCCTGATTAATAAAGGAACTAAGTCGAAAAGAAAATAAATTATTATGCCTGTTAATTAACTGTAGTAATTTATAGCAATTTAAACTCCCCCTTCAATATGTAAAGAGCTTTGACTGCATAAACTCAGGGGAAGAATGTCTGAGTGCATCAATGACTTCAGGGGTCCACTTTTTCTTGTGCTTGAATGTTAAAGCGCCCTCATATGAATTGTCAGTCACTGATATGCCGCCGCCAATTTGAGTTTGAGACCCCTGTATGATTGATTCAAGATTTTTTTTTTAATATCTGGATTGAAAACAGGACAAAACTACTACATAAATAATTATTATGATTTTAACAGCTTAGGAATGTTCAAGGACAACATGTTTGTGCACTTTCTAAAGATTTTAGTTCTGTTTTTTGAGTAAAGGGTTGTAAATGAATGATTTTCTGTTTTTAAATCAAATTCATCAATTAATCGAAAAAAATAACAGACAGATTAGTCAATTATTAAAATAGTCGTTAGTTGCAGCCCTAAAAAGTACATACATTTGAGTGTGTAACAGAAGAGTACGCAAACTTTGGCACATACTCCTTCCTCATTAACTGAACGTTATGTTGTTTAGTCACGTCCCCTTTCAATCATCTCCACACATCATCCACATTTCTTCCATATTTAATTCCCTACATTACTGGAGATTCAGCTGTGTGTTAATCTGCTATTCACAAGTCTTTCATGCAGAGAATCTCCTCAGGTCTTTAGATAAGAATAATACATTCAGAAGTTAATGATGATTCATGTAGTGGCAGTAATGAAGCAAATTAATAAAATACTACACTAAAGGAAGAAAACTAACAGTCTAACTTACAGAACTAAAACGCCCATCAGTGCTTCACACCCCAGTCCAGCAGGTGACAGTAGAGCACCTTTAATGCTGATTCACCACAAAACATCTACAGAAGAAGAGTCCAGTGGAGGAGCTCCAGACTTCTGTTCTGTGTTTACTTTATTATTAAAGTTTTCGTTTCTGAATGGGCGAGTTTGAACTACGAGTACAATAATAAAGACAAAGAATAAATTAAATTTAATATAGTTTAGCTTCATTTTTCACTTGCTTTCTTGTAACGAAGTCAAAGTTAACATTATAATTCAGTCAGGATAGCGTGAAATGTCCATCTTAATCGCTTTATCTTGCTTTTTTTTGCGATACCCTCTGAAAATATGAACTGATAAATAAGGAGAGAAACATAAATAAGGACAGAATCATACCTGTTTGTGTATGAAATATCAGCTGAAATAAAGTCCAGCGTTCCTGATCGCTTCTGTAGAGGAATTTACAGTTGAGCCCCAATATATACTGAATAAAGGCAAGCAGCTGAAGTGTCCGTCAGATAAACAGTCTGGCAGCAGAAGGTTCAATATAAAAGCTGGAGTGTGTTGTCGTGATTTCTTCAGCACTGAACCTCCACACGAGTTTTCCTTGCTCTGAGCTTTTACTCGGATAATGCCTCTGCTAACTGTGTGCTCAGCACTACTGCCATCTAGAGGACAATAACAGCAGCATCCACTAATCGCCACATCCCCTTTCATTAGAGAGAAAACATCAACAACCGATATACAACATAAAACTCTCTAATTGTGACGAAAAGACAAAGTCACCTTCACACATAATTACCTACATAGTAATTGTAATAAATACTATATAGTGTTTTACTGTACACTGAAAAAATTTATTCAAAGATGATTCCTTGGATTTACTCAATTTCTTTATGTTAAGAGGTTGTAAACAATTTATTTGGGCTGAATTTAAACAAACAAATTAAGTTGAACATTACTAAACTTCATTTGTTTGTTTAAATTCAACACAAATAAATTGTTTGCAACAGTTCTGCATGCAACACTTTTTTCAGTGTAGTAAAGTACATGAATGAATCTGTTACTGATACAAGCAGCGCTTAATTTGAACCGGATCCTGTTCTGACTGTTCTTTCCCAGTCGTGCTTTGCTCTGTTTATTTATTTATTTTTATTAAGCCCATAAACAGTGTATACAATTTATACATACACCAACAAATAGGCAGAACAATCATATTTAACAAACAAATAAAAAAAGCAAAAAGCAAAAAAAAAAAAAAAAGAAACAGCTAAACACAGGGGGTATATTAAAAAGTACATATTGAAAAAGCTAAATTTACTCAAACACAGGGAAAGAGCCGCAGACAATCTCGCAAATATACAATCTCAATGAAGCTCCAAGTGATTTTACAAGAAAGAAGTTAAAGGTTGTGGTAATATAATTTATATTCCAAAAGTAATGCAAAGTGTCAGTTTCACAGCACGCTGTGTAACTTGTTTTCTCTGTTCGGTCAACTAGTTAGGCAGTTTACCCTGCTGACCACAACACTTCATTTGCATCTGACCCAACCTACATGCTGGAAATGTATAAATGAATAGTGTTAGCTGTGCAGTTTAGAGTTTGCTTTCGATGACGCCACAGCCACGCTGAGTTCTTCTTATTAAAAAGGATTCTGCTTTGAAGACAACCGAAAGGTTCTCCCTGGTTTTTTGGGCTCTTGGAAGTTTACAACAAGGTCTACAAGTCTTTGGATGCCAACAATGTTCTTTGTGGTCATGTGCAAGAAATAATGCTCCAAGATGACCAGATTCAACACTGTGTAGTGCTAAAAACCGAGATTCTGCCTAGCCAAAGACAAGGAAAGAAGACAGAGTTAACGTAACACAAGGCCTGGGTAATTAATCACCAAAAATCATGGGTGTAAATCTGATTTAACAGTAGGGGGGGACAATAAATATAAAACTTCTTTCCAGCATTTTTTTGAAGGGGACACAAATAATACAGCCGAATTTCACTAATAAAGACATGTCCCCGCAGTTAAAATGGTTTCATTATAAATATTAGTATAGCATGGAGACTTCATCATTATGATTGTTCTCAAATTTTTTCTCAGGTTCAATGACAGCAAAATTCTCTTTAAAACTATTTATTGCATTGTTTGTTGTGTTGTTTACAATCAGTAGACTGACTCCTGAAGCAGAATAAATGCAGGAAAAGACATTTTCCATACTCATAATAACTAACTTTAAAACGTTAAATTGACCAATCATATTGTAAATCAGTGAGCCTGTGAAGTTCATCTGCTAAACAGCCACAACTCAGAAAACATTAAAAAAAAAATTGTTCACCCCCCAAAAGAATTATCATCATCCCTTCAATAAAGCACAACACCCTTACCTGACACTGTACATCTGACTGACCCTGCTCTGCCTGATCCTCAATCATTTCTTTCTCCTTTGCCTGTGATTGATAATGTGACATTAGTATTTTCATAAGCACTCATTCTGAAAGCCAAATTGCTTAATATGTGAAGTTTTTGTACTTGGCGTTTAGCTGCACTGAAAAATTATGTCCATTTTCTCTGTCATTTAATCCAATACATGACACTGCCAGGCAAGTTTATTTATGCTGTAGCACATTTTAGACACAATGTCAATTCAAAGTGCTTAACATAAAGAATGCAAAACTATCATAAAAATAATCACAACAACAAAAACAAAGAATTAAAAAAGGTCAACATTTTAATTTCAAATTAATTGAGTCACTTAAAACAGAATAGAAACTGATTAAACAAAAAAAATACAGTGGGGTTAGTGTGCACAGTGTAGCAGTGCTCATTTAGCAAATACACAACTAATAATATGCAAATTGTGGTCGTTAATGTTTAGTTAACATTATGCCAAGTCGTCACAAATGAAACAATGCATGGGAAACGGCTTTAGCCTTAGCAACAAGCTAATGTTACCTAGATAAGTAATTTTAATCGCTAATACAGCAGATTCATGGACAATTACATCCTTAATCAGCATTTTTGCCGCAAATAATTTATGAAAGAGTCAGTATTAACTACATAAAGGAGAATCGCTTTAAGGTGGGTTAAAACCCCCCTACTTACAACAGTAACTCAGCCAGGGGCGGACTGGGACTAAAAATTAGCCCTGGCATTGTAGCCACACCAGCCCACATTACCACACCGACACAGCCCCACCCAAGGACACGCACATTCACTACTTATATTTGTGTACAGATGGTAAAATTATATAAGCAGTACCTATTTAAGAGATATTTAAACATTCAATGTATGTGACTGAAACAAAATCAACCCATTTATATACGCAATCATGTCATTCATTTTCTTTTCGGCTTAGTCCCTTTATTAATCTGGGAATCGACAACTTATCCTGCATATGTTTATACAGTGGATGCCCTAAAAGCTGCAATCTATTACTGGGTTACCCAATTCCCAATTGGCCTACCCAATTCACCTATAGCATGTGTTTGGACTTGTGAAGGAAACCAGAAGCAAACCCACGCGAACATGCAAACTCCACACAGAAACACCAACTGACCCAGATAAGGCTCAAACCAGTGAGGTTTTCTTGCTGTGAGGCGACAGCACTACCTACTGCACCACTGCACTACCCCCTTTCGAGACTAGTTCAGTTAATTTTATGTAATTGGAAATGTCTGACTTGACTGCCTTTCCCTTTTTATGGTCCTTCTCTGACAATTAGCTTGTGTTGCACTCACTGTTTGTTTGACATTCTTGCCAAATTTTGATTATGTCTTTGTAACCTCAGATTAGGTTGGCCCATCTTGAAACCAGCCGGTTGTTGCTGACTGGGCCAATAATTAACATTTACTGTTATTCTTTATTTTATCACCATCATCATCATAATATTCACATCTCGATAAGAGATAAAAGCTACCTACATTTAAAAAATAATACATATGAAAAAATAAATTAAATAAAAAATGGTCCGGCCCTTCTGGCATTTGCCAGAATTGCCAGATGGCCAGTCCGCCCCTGAACTCAGCCCAAGGAACATGTCCCCCCTGGGATTTACGCCCATGAACTGCACCTGTACGGCAGGGTATGTGAACCTACACATAGAGGTAAAGCTGGTTTTATATTCGCACATTCAGACTTTCTCCTTAATAATATAATTTCATAAAAGTATTATTTGCAAACTCTAAATAGCGAAATCTTGTAAGCAGCCAATGACTATCAAAGTACAACATTGTTCACAGTCAAATAACCAGTGTTAATGTTGTTTTCAAGTCACACTTGCAGGTTATTTCAGAGCGAATATGCAAAGTGCCGTGGTAAACAATATAGGGAGTTTGTCACAAGTTGTCACTGAATGAGTGTGTGAATATAAAACTAACTTTACCTTAATAAACATAACTTTCACTTTTCATTCTTAGCATTCAGTGTCAGCAGTTTAATTAACCATATGTAACGGTTTTTGCTGAAATCATTTCTGCAATTAAAAACAAGTGATGTGTCTGATTCAGCATAGCGTGAACTGACCTGATATGACATGAGAACTGCAGTGTCCAGCATTTCTAATTAGCTCCTCACTTCATTCAGCTCCCATTTAGCCAAAGACGTCTGCAGTCGGTTTTAAACCAGTGTATAGTGTATGGTAAAAGTTACGTTTTCTATTTTTGGACTCGAATTTGGCATCCTACAGCACGAAACGACATGTTTACCATTGCAGCCTGTCTTTTTTTTGCAACCGTGTGACGTCATGTGTGATGTAGGTCGGTAATTGGTCTATTGGTAACTGCAGTCTATAGAAATGGGCGTGGCATAAAGTAGAGGCGTGGTAAAAGGTTTTTATTGGTCAAAGGTTTTATTTCTGGTCAAATGCGTTTACCAATTAGCTTAACATATTAAATAAGATGCTCGTTTAGCTTAAGGGTGGATCATTCTACTTTATGCTACTGGTGTTTAGCATAAAGAATTAAACGTTAAACGTATTCACAAAGTTTAATTAAAATAATGGGTATAATGGACACAAATGCTTGAATATCATTAGACAAATTAATTGTTTTTGTTCTTTTTACTGGCTATTTATAAATGCACTACTTAGAAAAGTGATTTATTCAGTACTATTTTAAACTGTGACTTAGTTGTTTCTCAGTGTCACTGAAATTATTGCCTAAAATAAATTTAATTTATTTTTATCTCCCAGTCTATTATCACCTTTCTCAGGCTTGCGTTTTTAATGCCAAAAGGGTACCTATAGGCGTGGTGTACGACAGAAAGTTTCAGTCAACGTCATTCTCAGTCAAGGAAATGTCAAAGTAAAGCTGTACGGGTCGTTCACATATCATACGAGAAGCACTTCTAACAAAACAGATGGTTCATACACTTAAACACTTGTGTATAAATGATCATTACTAACCTTTCTATCAACATGATTTGATTATAACTGCAGATCAATGACAGTGTGAAATAGCCTACTGTAACATCTGCAATTATATAAAATAAATAAATAAATGCAGCACACATACAGCCCTTTACAGTCTCCGATATGTTACTAATTACAGAAAAACACACAGTAGACGTTTAGTCCTTATTTGGGTTCAAAAACAACTAGAAATAAAGCCCAGTCAGTGCAAACCTCTCATCTGTAATTATCTTTATTCTTCTCCAGCACATGTGGCCTCTTATTAGAGAGTAATTCCATCAGTCCGAGTTCATAAGAGTTCAAAAGTTGATGATAATAGTTAAACAGGGCTGTTTGTTCATGCTTTAGGTTGCTGAAAGAATCATTTGCTCCTTTGTTTTTTTTGCTTCACTCTCGCGTTTGTCCGTTTCTGAAAGGATTGGATGTCAGATGCACTTCAATGATCACGAGCACGTTATTATCATCAGCTCAAGAAGATCTTGATTTCAAATATAGACGCAGACGCGAGTGCAAGTAAGAAAGTGAAACCGCTCACGCTTTTAGACGGGCTTGTAAAACAACAACAGGACACGGCAGATCTTAGTCTTCTTGGCTTTGTTGCTGTTCATCAAGACGATGATGAGGTTTGTTTAAGCTCGAGTTGACCATGGCTTGTTATTATATGTATATATTATTATGGTGTAATGTCTCGGCTGTGTTTTTAAAATGGCGGTTTCTTTGTTTTCATTCTTCTGCATGTGTATGCGCTGGTGACGTGTCTCAGTAAACCAATAGCATTCAGCTGCGCGTCTAGCTCTGCCTTTTGGTACCCTTTTGTCTTGCTTAGTACCCTTTCAAAAAGGTACCCAAAAAGTGGTACGGTTTTTGGTGCCCTTTGACAGTAGGAACGGCCTTAAAAGCAGGGCTTTACATTAGCTTTTTTGATCACCAGCCACAGTGGCTAGTAGTTTTCCAACGTTACCAGCCATGCTGCATTTTCACTAGCCACAATTTTGTTGTATATTTTTATATGCATAAATATGACTTAGACATGCTAAAATGACTTGATTTAGATTTTGTGTTATGTTCACATGCCTCCTTATTCATTTCACATTTTCGTGTATGAGCAAATGGGTCATGGTTTCACAGTGTGCAATTAGTTTTTATTTCACATCACTTTTCAGAACTCAAAATTAGGGATTTACCCAATTTATCTCTGACCACTCCAAACAATAATTATTACTTTGCCACAAATTTTGAATGTGTCAAACAAGCTAAATATAGCTGTATACTATACTTATTATTTAACAAAACATTTATTTAAAAAAAAAACAAAGAAAAACAATTGACTTTGAAAAATAATTATTGTCATGTATCAAAAATATGCACAGTAATCTGTCCTCGCTAAAGGTCTCTCAGTTCACCAGTTAACCACACATAAATGGGGTTAATCTCATATTAAACAAATGTTGTTGTAAAATATGATAATTAAACCATATAAGCAATAATAACCGTAAGCAAAAGAAAGCAGGTGAAAAACATACTGTGTGATAATGGAAGGACAATCACATGGTTAAAGCCAATTAATAATCTGTTCAAAGCGAAAGCAACCGGTTCTGTTTACAAAAATACATATTTGGAGCTCTTGAAAGCAGCAAGACTGTGTGTGCATTAGCATTACTTTTTTGCCTGACTATTTGAAAGAGATCCGATCACAGTTGCGTTTCAGGCATGTGTGCTTCAAAGGAGGAAACAGGAGCGCGCACGCGCTTTAAAGGGCCATGAAACCCCCTCGTTTCAGCAGGGTGTTTTCACACGTCTACTTTGGAAAAAGTCAGAAAAGTGGGCGTGTCCAGCTCTGTTTAGGGGGGAGTGTCGGAGGAAAAAAAGTGGGATGGTGTGGGAGTGTCTATTTGGGCACGCGCGAGTTTCAGAGTCAAAATTCACACACACAGTAGAAAGTGATGGTGTTTAACCTACAAGGACATCTGTAGTCGAATTATTTGACAAATTATTAAATGGTGGACTTTAACTGCAGTTTGGCTCTTTCATTCAGGGAATTCATTCATGCCCCTCGCGACAAACGAGATATTTGATTGGAGGAGCTGCTCTAAGCGTGTATTTTTCATGCAATGTTTGATACCGCACGGCGAATGAAAGAAAAAAAACCCTCCGCATTTCCCGGAAACTTAGATGCACACGGCAGGTAGCGTCAGAAAGCCGCGTGTGTTATTCCGCTCACAAAATGCGGTAAAAACCCTACACGAAGTTAAAGTTTGGTAGTGGTGCTAACGTGTATACACTCGGTGCAATAGTTTGTTTGATACGAACAAACTGAATAAACAAAGAGCACTGGTCGCTCACTTACCAAATCTGTAGAGACAGGACAATCCCCAGCAACTAGAGCCGCGTCTTTATGAAGAGAATACTACAAGCGAATCCGGATCTCAGCGTTTGCAGATGAGAACAGCTCTCAGGTAAACAAAGTTCCTCCTTAGACACGCAAGTTATTGTTGTCGAGCGTCGCGTACACTGTTAATCCACACGTGACTCTGAGCTCTCACAGAGAGAAAATGAAAACAAAACTTAACTGCAGCAAACTATAAAAGCAACACTTCACGCTTGTTTTGCCAACACAACATGGCGTCTCTGTCGTGTAAACACTGTGACAGTAATGAATATTAATGAAGTTGCACAATAGAGCGCGCTGATTGGTTTGAACCAAGCCTTACTCATGCATTAATGCATCACACTGTAAGACGTAATAAGACACACTCTGGCACAGACGTCCAGTCTGCACGCTGGAATACACGCTATTATGTCATGACCGTGACGCAGCTTCAAAACTTCGTTTCAAACCGGAAGTACGAATTTGCTTGAAATAACGCAAAAACAACCAATTTACACTTTTTAGTGAAATATAGGTGTCCTAATAGTGTTTTTAGCAGTGTGGGACACATATACGACTGTCAACAGCTCAAAAAATGTGTTTTGGTGTTTCGTGACCCTTTAAACTGTCACGCGCATCACATCAGCTGTTAGCGCGAGTGATTATCCTCTCATTATTCATCTGCTTTCTTCTGTTCGCGCGAATGCAATTTTTTTGTTATTTTTTTTTTTTTGTTAGTCGTGCTATTTCTCCATTCTAAGATCACATATTGGGTCATTCTTATAGTCGAACCCTGCTTTTAAGAAACCCACAATTCAAAAATTATTTTCAACCAGCCAAAGTGGCTAGTGGGAGTGACTGTCTAACCCGCCAAAGCTGAAATCTACCCGCATTTGGCGGGTGTTAATGTAAAGCCCTGCTTAAAAGCATACAGAAACGTACCACTCAGTGGAAACGGCCATCAGATACTGTCAACTACAACTACAGTAAATCAAAGGCACATTTCTGCTGTGTTTTCAGCACACCTGCCTGGAAGTCTAGTATACCAAGAAAGAGCTTGATTCGCTAGTTCAGGGCACCAACGCAATCTCACGGCAATTCGTAACTTTTTGATATAGTGGCTAATTCGTATAAATTCAAATGATTTTCTGCTGTCAAGTTACATGTAAAGACAAACAACTCCAAAACCAGAGGACTTGAAAATATGACTAATTTTTTTTGCAGCTCAAAGTGCATAGAGGATGGATCTACAGATATTTCATGTGAATAATGAACGACTCAAACCTGATAGAATATAAAATAATCAATCATTTCCCCTTTCTGCACATACAGCAATGAAGGAATCACTCTGAAAGGACTCATTATTGCAGAGTCACATTAAAGATTTGTTCCAGAACGACCCATCAATACTGCAAGTTTGCATATCTGTATCTCCAGTGTGAATCCTCACATGTGATTTCAGGCTTCTAAACTGACTGAATCTCTTGTTGCAGTGTGAACACTTGTACGGTTTCTCTCCAGTGTGAATCCTCTCATGTGATTTCAGATTTGATAACTGACCGAATCTCATGCCGCAGTGTGAACACTTATACGGTCTCTCTCCAGTGTGAATCCTCTCATGTATTTTCTGGTTTCCTAACCAATTGAATCTTTTGTCGCAGTGTGAACACTTGTACAGTTTCTCTTCAGTGTGAATCATCTCATGTATTTTCTGGTTTCTTAACTGACTGAATCTCTTGTCGCAGTGTGAACACTTGTACGGTTTCTCTCCAGTGTGAATCATCTGGTGTTGTTGTAAGCTTGTAGATGTAAAAAAAGTCTTCCCACACTCAGAGCACACATACTCTCTCACACCGGTGTGGATCTTCTGATGTCTTCTTAAATTTACTTCATGTGCAAAACTCTTTCCACACACAGAGCATGAAGGCTTCTCAGTTGCATGAACTCTAAGGTGATCATTCAGCTTTGAAGCCAACAGAAATGATTTTCCGCATTGATCACATGAGTGTGTTTTCTCTCCAGAGTGGATCAACATGTGTCTATTAAGGTTTGATGAGTCTCTAAAACTCTTCCCGCACTGAGAACATGTGAATGGTCTCTCTCCGGTGTGAATCCTCATGTGGACCTTGAGATTGTCTTTGTTTGCCAGACTCTTCCCACACTGAGTGCAGGTGACACGTTTTCTGTCTTTTCTCTTCAGTGATTTTGTTTTTCCTCTCATTTTAACTCACGTCTCCACAGTCAGGCCTAAAATAAAAGTGAAAAGACAGCATTTTTTAAAAGTGATATAAAAAATACAGATCTTCCAGTCACCTTCTTTATAAAAATATTTAAAACTTGCCCAAACTATTTTCATTCATTCATTCAATTGCAACAACTGCTGTAACACATTGAGTATTAATTATGCAGTGTTTTTAACCACCCAATGCTTATTTTATGTTTTAGACATGTAAATACACACTTGTACTAGTAAAACAAGACATTTAGAGCAGGGCCGGATTGGCTAATTGGGAGGACCAGGAGAATTCCCGCCCTTCCGTATTTTGGCTGCAGGGGCCGCTGTCCCTAGCTGCTAGCACTCTTAGCAGTTGCACTTTTTTCATTTATTTACTTATTTGACCGTAACCTCACTGTTTTTATCCATTATTTTGCCGCAGATCCGCTCTCTTTATTTTCTCGCAGCCCTATGAGCAAAATGCAGCCTGCAGGTTAATGATGACATAAATATCATTCGACCCCAAACAGCAGCACCTTTTATATTTCGATTTTAAATCGAAATCGATCGAAATTTATGCTCAATTTCGATTATCGAATCAAAAAATAGAATCATCGATGCTGCCACGCCCCCATGTCACGTCAGCTTGACTTGCCAAGCGGGAAAAAACACGCTTGTTGAAGTGCTTGTTAAAGGGTCACGAAACACCAAAACACATGTGTTTGAGCTGTTGACAGTCGTATATGTGTCCCACTCTGCTAAAAACACTATTAGACACCTATATTTCATTAAAAAGTGTAAATTGGTTGTTTTTGCGTTATTTTAAGCAAATTCGTACTTCCTGTTTGAAACGAATTTTTGAAGCTGCGTCACGATCATGACATAATAGCCTGTATTCCAGCGTGCAGACTGGGCGTCTGTGCCAGAGTGAGTCTTATTACGTCTTACAGTGTGTTGCATTAATGCATGAGTAAGGCTTGGTTCAAACCAATCAGCGCGCTCTATTGTGCAACTTCATTAATATTCATTACTGTCACAGTGTAGACGACAGAGACGCCACGTTGTGTTGGCAAAACAAGCGTGAAGTGTTGCTTTTATAGTTTGCTGCAGTTAAGTTTCGTTTTCATTTTCTCTCTGTGAGAGCGCAGACTCACGCGTGGATTAACAGTGTACGCGACGCTCGACAACAACTTATGTGTCTAAGGAGGATTATTGTTTACCTGAGAGCTGTTCTCATCTGCAAACGCTGAGATCCAGATTGTAGTCTCCTCTAAATAAAGATGCGGCTCTAGTTGCTGGTGATTGTCCTGTCTCTACAGATTTGGTAAGTGAGCGACCAGTGCTCTTTGTTTATTCAGTTCGTATTTTATTCGTATCAAACAAACTATTGCACCGAGTACAATAGTTAGCACTAACAGTTACAACCAAACTATAACCTCGTGTTGGATTTTGTGACCGTAATAACACACGCGACTTTCTGACACTACCTGCCGTGTGTATCTAAGTTTCCGGGAAATGCAGAGTTTTTTTTTTCTCTCATTCGCCGTGCGGTATCAAACATTGCATGAAAAATACACGCTTAGAGCAGCTCCTCCAATCAAATATCACGTTTGTCGGGAGGGACATTAATGAATTCCCTGAATGAAAGAGCCAAACTGCAGTTAAAGTCCACCATTTAATAATTTGGCAAATAATTCGACTACAGATGTCCATGTAAACACAGTCACATTGTCCGCTGTGGGTGTGTGTTTTGACTCTGAAACTCAGCGCGCCCAAATAGACACTCCCATACCAAGCCGCTTTTCTTCCTCCGACACTCCCCCCTAAACAGAGCTGGACACGCCCACTTTTCTGACTTTTTCCAAAGTAGAGGTGTGAAAACACCCTGCTGAAACGAGGGGGTTTCATGGCCCTTTAAACTGTGCAGACGCAGGAGAGCCATCGACAGAGCTTAAACCTTCAGGGCTCGACAATAAGGACTGCCCGATAGCCCGGGGCCAGCGTGCGAGACGCTCAGGCCAGTGTACAGTGCTGCCTTGTTGGCTGACAGATCGAGCCTGAGCTGCGTGCTGTGACTGTCTGTCAATTGTGTGCAAACACAATCTTACGGTGCTTTCACACATAGACGTTTGTTTCGGAATCTGTCTCGTTTCCCCCGTTAGCGCAGTTTGTTTGGCATATATCCAGCAGTTGCGCTCAGCGCTCGCATCCGCGCCAAATCAATCAGCCTGAATGAGACGGTCTCTGCCCTACTGAGCGGATTGATTGTAGCGAGAAAACAAAACAATGCAATAAACTAACGACCCAGGCTATATCACAGTGTATTATGATCGTGTAATAGCCATATATACGGCTATATGTAGAGAGAATAATGAGCAGGGCGAGATGTCATTCTTACCGGTAAATGCGAAAGTGAAAGCATGCTGAAATATTACCGAGAGCTGTTTATCCAGCCTGATCTCGGTTTATCTGTCAGGAAAATTGATCGAAATTACTATCTGTTAATTTTTCCATATTTTAATCGTATAATATGTTGTATTAGGCCTGTTGTTTTGTTCATTTCCGCACTGACAGCTCGAAAGAAAGATTTACATTGATCTGATGAAGTCTCGGTTCATCTGCTATGTCTCTCTGTAATTTAAGCCTATAATACAGAATTCTAGTCAACGTTTCTTTAATAGATTGATTAATTCAATAGATCGATTTTTACAAAACCTGAAAATTGAAATGAGACTTTGTATATATGAGAAAGTCTGACCTCTGCTTTATATTCGGTGACGATGTCTGTGGGTTAAAATTAAAGTGCACATTTTTGCTTATAAAATATTCTATACACAACTGCTCTAAAGTTTGGGGTAAGTATAATTGTTATATATGTTAAACTAAGCTTCTGCTCACCAAGGCTGCAATTATTTCATCATAAATACAAATTGTGAAAGGTTGCACTATAAAATAACTGTTCAAAAGTAGTTTATCATTTAATTTATTCATTTATTCCAGTGATTTTAAAGATGAAATTTCAGCTTCATTACTCCAGTCACATGATCCTTCAGAAATCACTAATATTAATTATTATTATATTTATTAATGGTAATAGTAACAAAAGCAATAATGTCTGGAGTAATAATTTTATTTGAAACTACATACAATAACAAAGCAGTTATTTAAAATTTTGATAAATATTTAACAAATTAACATTTTTTACATTTAATAAATGTAGCCTTGATGAACTGAATGTTTTCTTAAAAACATAAAAAAATAACTGTAAATATATATATATATATACAGTGGAAGTCAGAATTATTAGCCCCCCTTTGTTGTTTTTTTTCTTTTTTTTTTATATTTCCTGAATGATGTTTAACAGAGCAAGCAAATATTGATAGTATGTCTGATAATATTTTTTCCTCTGAATAATGTCTTATTTGTTTTATTTTGGCTAGAATGAAAGCAGTTCTTAATTTTTTTATGAACCAATTTAAGGTCAAATTTATTAACCCCTTAAGCTAATTGTTTTTCAGACTGTCTCCAGAGCAAACCATCGTTATACAATAACTTGCCTAATAACCCTAGCCTGCCTGGTTAACCTAATTAACCTAATTGAGACTGCTTCAATCTTTTACTTTCACACTTGTACTTAGTCATTTTAGCAAACAGATACTGTTGGCTGGTTCCTGTTGGTTGTGCACCTATTTTTACCGACGCCATTATAACGACACAGATCACTGCCTATTCACAAGAAAAAAGTGATTGACAGGTGGAAATTATGTGTGTAACTTGCCTTTATTCATTTACTGTATGATTTGTTTATGGGTAAAACAAAGACCATCCAGGTCAGGTAGTTTAAACGGTAGGCTACAAATAAATAATTAGTTATTAATTGATTAATTATTCATAATCGAAAATCGAATTGAATAGTGACTTAAGAATCGAAAATGTAATCGAATCGAGGATTTGGAGAATCGTGACACCCTTATGTACAAGTGCCTCAAACTCACTTATTTTAAGGCAGGAACCAGCGGACGTGCAACAACTTTTACTATGAGGTAAGCACAAAACAAAACTTTCCATCTGGGGCTCCACACTTGTAAACAATCGCTCCATCGGGCTCACGCGGCTCTCAGCCGACAAATCACAGAGCTTGCGATACGCGTCGTTGTGACGTGTAGTTACATTTTTTGCGAGGTGCACGTCAGCGCTGCAGACGGCCACGGCGTAGGGCTATGCGTCAACTATAGCATACACAAGTGCTTGACGCAGAAGTATAAATCAGCCTTACGAGTGAAATGATTTTGTTCAGCCTGTCAAACTCTTCCAGAGCACCGATAGTTAATCTTAATAAATTATGTTTTTCTATGAAACCCTGGGTAAAAATTCTGGGTGTTATTCTAGATGATAGCTTGAGCTTTGACAAACAGATAATTGTTGATAGTTCTCTCTGTGTTGGCGTGGATTTCCCCCAGATGCTCCGGTTTCCCACACAAGTCCAAATATATGCGGAACAGGTTGATTAGGTAAGCTAAATTTGTCTGTAGAGTATGCGTGTGAATGAGAGTGTATGGGTGTTTCCCAGTAAAGGATTGCTGCTGGAAGGGCATCTGCTGCGTAAAACATGCTGGACAAACTGGCGGTTCATTCTGCTGTGGCGACCCCTGATTAATAAAGGAACTAAGCCGAAAAGAAAATAAATTATTATGCCTGTTATTAAACTGTAGTAATTTATAGCAATTTAAACTCCCCCTTCAATATGTAAAGATCTTTGACTGCATAAACTCAGGGGAAGAATGCCTGAGTGCATCAGTGACATCAGGTTTTACACTTTTTTTTTTGTTCTTGAATGTTAAAGCGGCCCTCATATGAATTGTCAGTCACTGATATGCCCCCGCCGATTTATTATTATGATTTTAACAGCTCAGGGATGTTCAAGGACAACATGTTTGTGCACTTTCTAAAGATTTTAGTTCTGTTTTTGAATAAAGGGAAAATAATCAACAGATTAGTCAACTATTAAAATAATCGTTAGTTGCAGCCCTAAAAAGTACATTTGAGTGTGTAACAGAAGAGTACGCAAACTTTGGCACATACTCCTTCCTCATTAACTGAACGTTATGTTGTTTAGTCACGTCCCCTTTCAATCATCTCCACACATCATCCACATTTCTTCCATATTTAATTCCCAACATTACTGGAGATTCAGCTGTGTGTTAATCTGCTATTCAACAAGTCTTTCATGCAGAGAATCTCCTCAGGTCTTTGGATAATAATCATTCGTGTAGCGGCAGTAATGGAGCAAATTAATGCTGGAAAATAGAAAAATACTAAAAGAAAAGGAGAAAACTAACAGTCCAGCTTACAGAACTAAAATGCCCATCAGTGCTTCACACCCCAGTCCAGCAGGTGACAGTAGAGCACCTTTAATGCTGATTCACCACAAAACATCTACAGAAGAAGAGTCCAGTGGAGGAGCTCCAGACTTCTGTTCTGTGTTTACTTTATTATTAAAGTTTTTGCTTCTAAATGGGCGAGTTTGAGCTACGAGTACAGTAATAAAGACAAAGAATAAATCTTTAGTAACTTAATATAGCTTAGCTTAATTTTTTACTTGCTTTCTTTTAACAAAGTCAGGGTTATTATGTGTAACATGGAAATTTGCATCTTAATCCTTTTATCTTACTTTTGTGCGATACCCTCTGAAAATACGAACTGATAAATAATGAGAAAAACATAAATAAGGACAGAATCATACCTGTTTGTGTATGAAATATTAGCTGAAATAACAAAGTCCAGCGTTCCTGATCGCTTCTGTAGAGGAACTCACAGTTGAGCCCCAATATATACTGAATAAAGGCAAGCAGCTGAAGTGTCCGTCAGATAAACAGTCTGGCAGCAGAAGGTTCAATATAAAAGCTGGAGTGTGTTGTCGTGATTTCTTCAGCACTGAACCTCCACACGAGTTTTCCTTGCTCTGAGCTTTTACTCGGATAATGCCTCTGCTAACTGTGTGCTCAGCACTACTGCCATCTAGAGGACAATAACAGCAGCATCCACTAATCGCCACATCCCCTTTCATTAGAGAGAGAACATCATCTGCAGAGCACAAACAACCGATATACAACATAAAACTCTCTAATTGTGACTAAAAGACAAAGTCGCCTTCACACATTTAAATATAATTACCCACATAATAATAGAAATAAATACTATATAGTGTTTTACTGTAGTAAAGTACATGAATGAATCTGTTACTGATAAGATTGTTCCGCAATCTTTCCCAGTCGTGCTTTGCTCTGTTTTATTTATTTATTTTTATTAAGCCCATAAACAGTGTATACAATTTATACATACAACAACAAATAGGCAGAACAATCATATTTAACAATGAAGAAAAAGAAATGCAAAAACAAAAAAAGAAACAGCTTTTTGGAGCCTTTTTGTTATAAGACAATTGGATCAGTGAAAGGTATTGTTTAAATTTGTTTAAAAACCCCCACAAACATAGGTCTGGAGTTAGAAAATTTTGACTTATGAATGTGAAATTTAGCAAGCAGCAAAATTAAGTTCGCCACATACAACTGTTTACTTTTAGGTTGTTAATACTCAGTAAAGCCCAATACTACATCTTTCCAATACAAAGTACATTCATTACACTTTTTACTTCGAATAAAATTCAAGACATTTTTTCTAAATATTTTTGTAAATGGACGGTACCAAAGAAGATGGACAACAGTTTCAAAGGTTTGCTCTGTTTGGTGGTTGTAAGTTCACGCTGGTGACGCCATCATGTGGTTTGTGTTTGATTGGCGGAAGGAGGGAACGCGTGTTCGAAAATAGAATCAGTGTTCCAAACCGCAGAATGTTGAGAAGAGGATGTTCTAGAAGGTTCTGGTTTATTTCCGTAAGAAATCTGAAGTACTTTAACCGCTAATATTGGCCATAATATTATTATATGTCGGACGCAAATCGATCATAAGTACATTCTCGAGTAAAAGTGCAAACAAACTACAAACATGGCGGACGCGGGGGGCAACCGTCAAAAAGTAGAGAGGCTTAGGTAACATTCTTTGAATGACTATAATAAACATCTAGCCGACTGGAAAATATTTAAATCACGTTTTCCGTGTTATATTTCATCTGCAACAACAATGTGAACTAATATAAAGACGTGTTTAAACATTACCTTCTGAATGCATAATTATCCAAATACCTGAAAAGATTTCTCAGCATGAAAGACTCGTGAATGGCAGATTAACCTACTGCTGAATCTACAATATAGAAGGTAAGTAAAAATGAAAGAAATGGGAATGTGTCGAAATGATTGACAGGAGGAGTAAATAAGCAACATAACGGTTTATTAATAAGTAGTATGTCCCAAAGTTTGCATGCTATTCTGTTAAACGCTCAAGTGCCCCTACTCCCTTTTCTTCACAAAAGTACATACATTTCAGAACGTACATGTCTGCGAATTGGGACAAAGCAAATGAGTTTAGTATGGAGAAGATCAGGCTCATTTAAAACGACTTACTAAATCAGAGAAAATTTGTCTTCAAAAAGTATTTAGTTTCTCTCATTTTCATATGGTGTGTCTCCTCCATCAGGCCTGAAATAAAAATAATGCATATTACATTTATAAAAAGTGAAATAGACAACTATGAAAATGCGATAACTTGATGCAATTTATAAATCATGCAAGGTACACTGATATTAGAGGGATACAACGTTAGCGTTAGCTCTACTATAAAAGATCTGGGTGTCATATTAGACAGCAACTTAACTTTTGAAAATCATATATCCAATGTCACAAAAACTGTCTTTCATCTGAGAAATATCGCTAAATTACAAAGTATGCTATCCATCTCAGATGCTGAAACGCTAGTCCATGCTTTTATGACTTCTAGGCTGGATTACTGTAATGCTCTTTTTGCTGGCTGCCCAGCATCCTCTATTTACAAACTCCAGCTAGTACAAAGTGCAGCTGCCAGAGTTCTTACCACGTCTAGAAAATATGACAATATCATCTCAATTGTTCATATTGAGATGATTGGGTGTGTTTGAATCCCTGCAGACAGAACTGTTTACTGTCATCTATAAGAAATTCACTCAGACTCCAGATCTCATTCGGACATTTACTGAAGATAAGTTGTGGTTTTCTAAAACAATACAAAAATCTCACATAAGTAATTATATAAATAACAATTAGAACAGCAAATAACAATATTAATAATTATAAAATAGTAATACTAATTGCAGTAACTGCACAACATGTAAATGCAAATAATCAGAGCAGTTGTTCCCTAACTGTCCACAAGAGGGCGCCAGTAGTCCACTAAACGTGACTGAGGCACATTTTCTATAATAGAATAAATCAACAAGTGTAAGTGGTAAATAACTAGATGAAACAATCACGTTTATCTATGTAAAGTGTTTACATTACCTCCATTAAGTATACTGCACATGGAAGCAAGCTTATTAGTCAACTGTTATCAATTACTACTCCAAAATCAGACATTAGGCGTTATTGCATGTAAACATTAGCAGATAACTTTCAACTATATACATCAGCAGTGGTGTTATTCTGCATGTAAACGTAAGCAGATAACTTTCACTTTGCAGCGATTTCAGTTCGCGAAATGCTCAGCACACCTGCTTCTCTTCCTCTTCCAAGTCCCGCCTATTAAAGTGACGCTGCAAATGCTTATTAGTCAGCAGCAGAATGTAAAAGAAGCCCTTTGAACAATCTGGATGCGGCCTTTATGATGCAAGCTGAGATTGCATCACTCAGCGATGCAATGTCAGACACAATGCAATCAATGGAGTGAGTGACATCACTGTGACGGGTGGGGTTAGGTGAGTGCATTAACAAGCGATGGATACAGCTCTGATTGCACTGCACCAGGTCTGCATCCAGACCCCTCTCCAATTTTATCCTCATTACACTGGCTGCCTGCTAAGTTTTGTATTGATTTTAAAATATTACTTCTTACTTACAAAGCTTTAAATAATCTAGCTCCTGTTTATCAAACCAACCTTCTGTCTCGCTATAATCCAACTCGCTCTTTAAGACCTCAAAACTCAGGGCTTCTGGTGGTACCTAGAATAGCAAAGTCGAGTAAAGGAGGTCGAGCCTTCTCATTTATGGCTCCTAAACTCTGGAATAACCTTCCTGATAACGTCCAGACACACTCTCTCAATTCAAAACTAGATTAAATACCTATCTTTCTAGTAAAGCATACACTCAATGCATCCCATAGCAGTATGATGCATGAATGTGCTCCACATATCTCTCTTATATAGACCAGGGGTGTCCAAACTCGGTCCTGGAAGGCCGGTCTTTATTCTCTACTTCCACCTGGGCATCCCAAAGCCCCCAGAGAGTATGCAGTGCCACTGATGCAATCCAAGACCTGTGATGATGAGATGATCCTAAGGTTTCTGCAATCCCGGACCAGGCCGTATCCTGAGCAGCTGCTGTGGTGGTCATGGAAAAGTGGAGAGCATGAGACTGATTCCTGTGATGCTCCAGGCACAGCTGACATCCAGCACTCTCCAGTGTCTAGACTGTAGCTCTGCACAAGACCTTTGGCCATAGGAGAAATGGTCGTGCCCAACTGAGCCTGGTTTCTCTCGAGATTTTTTAATTCTTCACTTTCGTTAATTGGTGAAGTTCTTTCCTCTCCGCTGTCGGCACTGGCTTGCATGGTTCAGGACCTGTAGAGCTGCGCATCGATGGATTTGCTCTTCAGTGTTTGAATTCTCAACAGTGACAATTAAACCACACTGAACTGAGCTAAACTGAACTGAAACACTGAAAACTGAACTGACAAGCAATCATAAGCATGTGATCCTCTCGAAATTAGTTTATAAATAAACTTCACGAAAAGAAAGTTGGAGACACAGAAAAGTTGAAGGAACAAAACACAGTTCGAGGTATAATTAAAAACATCAGAACCAGTAGTTGTTTAATTTTTTATCAAAATATATCTTTATTTAATCTCATTTTAATGCGCTGCAGTTGTGAGTGTGACCATATCGGAAACAAATATGGCAGCGAGCGTAACGGAAGTGACTTTTTGGTCCCCATGAATACTGCAAACCAAATTGAAGATTAAGATCATGAAATGATGTAACTGTGTACAATCTCGAGCAGAAATAACGTACTTTTTGAGTTCATTCAAGCAGATGGAAAATCTCACCAAGATTTTACAGGTAATTGATTTAGTGTCCTAAACACCTTTGAGCTACCCATAGTGATTACATTTACATTTAGTCATTTAGCAGACGCTTTTATCCAAAGCGACTTACAAATGAGGACAAGGAAGCAATTTACACAACTATAAGAGCAACAACGAATAAGTGCTGTAGGCAAGTTTTAGGTGTGTAAAATGTAAAAAGCAAAGCATTGGTAATGTAAATTTTTTTAGTACAGTTAGCAGTGGAGCCAGAGAGGGAGTTGCATATTAGTAAGTAAAGTGGAGACTAAATAGTTGAGTTTTTAGTCTATTCTTGAAAATAGCGAGTGACTCTGCCGTTCTGATGCAGTTAGGGAGTTCATTCCACCAACTGGGCAGATTGAGCGTGAGAGTTCGGGAAAGTGATTTCTTCCCTCTTTGGGATGGAACCACGAGGCGACGTTCATTCACAGAACAGATGTTTCTGGAGGGCACATAGATCTGCAGAAGTGAGAGCAGATAAGAAGCTTCTGCTCACCAAGGCTGCAATTATTTCATCATAAATACAAATTGTGAAAGGTTGCACTATAAAATAACTGTTCAAAAGTAGTTTATCATTTAATTTATTCATTTATTCCAGTGATTTTAAAGATGAAATTTCAGCTTCATTACTCCAGTCACATGATCCTTCAGAAATCACTAATATTAATTATTATTATATTTATTAATGGTAATAGTAACAAAAGCAATAATGTCTGGAGTAATAATTTTATTTGAAACTACATACAATAACAAAGCAGTTATTTAAAATTTTGATAAATATTTAACAAATTAACATTTTTTACATTTAATAAATGTAGCCTTGATGAACTGAATGTTTTCTTAAAAACATTTTAAAAATGATTGTAAATATATATATACATTTGAAGTCAGAGTTATTAGCCCCCCTTTGTTGTTTTTTTCTTTTTTTTAATATTTCCTGAATGA